ATTTAAGCAAATTGGATGTCAAGCAGGAATGTAGGGTTGTTCAGGCTGGTATGGTGCAAGTTTTTAAATAAAGTAGGAATTTAGACTTGTTCAGGCAAGTCTGAAGCAGGTTGGTGAGTAAAGCAGGTTTTGAAGCCAATATGGTAAGTCCACAGGTTATAACACATGAGCCAGGATTCAAAGTCTTTTAGGCAAATCATCAACTTCAATGTCAAGGCCATGAGGTGAGTTGGGTGTAACCTTTTATAGGATCAGAATTAGTCCAGGCAGGTGAGGATGAGATGGACATCTCCGTGCTAGTGGTTAGGGAGGCCACTAGTGGCAAATAAAATCAGTGCAGGAACTTGTTTTTTAAAGGAACAGAATAAACACAACAAAAAATCTTGTTTGTCAGGGTAGGATCCTGACACCAATGCAGTTTTTATTCATGTATTTTTCATTTTTATATTTTATTTAAATTATTTCTTACTTACTGTTTTTGCATATATTTTTAATTCATTACCTATATAATCAACTAAAATGGGGGGAATCCCAACATGGAATTATTGTAAACAAGAGATGACAATTACACAACTTCCACAATAAAATCTAAATTCATTTATTATGCCTCTATAGAGACATTGAAAGCCCTCAAAAGTGCTAACACAATCTCAATTAGACTAGGTAAAAAAGGAAAAGCTAAGGATAGCGAATCTACATTCAATACCGGATGGTGAAACTGGATTTTAAAAACGTGTGCCATATAGTTGAAGCACTTCCTGCAGGAGAGGAGAGAGATGCCTACTCTTTGGGCTCTTATCAGCACCTTGGTGTTTCTGATAGACTCGGTCAACGAAACACTGAGCCTGTCCGCCTCCAAAGTTCACTCCATCTGGAGAGAGATCCATCAGATTCTGTCTCGCTACCAGGTTTCCCTGCAACAGTTGGCATGGGTGATTGGCCTACTGGCAACCTCGGTCCAAGCAATCTTTCCTGGACCACTGCACTACTGTGCTCTTCAGCTCCTCCACCTGTGTAGGGACCTATCATAGGATTGCATCACGTTGGATGCAGAGATGAGGGACATGCTCTGTTGGTGAATCCTAAACTGGATGTCTGGAATGGCTGGGCCATCTTCATGCTGCAGCCAGAGCTATCCATAGAGTCTGATGAGAGTTTCCACAGCTGTAGAGGTCCCACCTGCATATCAACGGTTTGGAGTTGCTGGCAGGTTCCTGAGCCCTTTGGAGTTTCTCTGAAAATTGTGTCAATGTCTGTGTTAGCCTCCGTATGGACTGTGTCAACTGTCTGATACATAAACCACAGGCTCGATTCCTTTTTCTTTTGATCCCTTCTCCACCGGTGGGGCATGCTCCTTCTGGACTTGTTTGCCTCACATCTCAACTGTCAACTGCCCCTCTTCTTTAGCTGGCAGACGGATCTGGGCTCTTTGGATGTAAAACATTACTTTAGGACTGGGATGGGGCTTGCAATTATACCTTCCCCCCATTCTCCATGCTTCCCAGGAAGCTTCTGCAGGTCCATTGGCCAGCGCAACGTTGGTTCCCTCAAGTCCTGGAATTAGCCATCAATGATTCCAGGCTACTTAGGTCAGATCCTCTGCTCATTCAGGACCCAGGTGGCTCGCCCTCATCCCCTGATAGTCGAGCGCTGGCTCCCCCTCTTGTCATGGATGTCCGGAATTTTCAGATTCAGCTAGACGCCTTTGGAAATTTCCATGGGCTCACAGAACTAGGAATTCTTACCGCTCAGCCCGGTGATTCGAAAGCTCAACATATATCGATCTTTGATCTCTTCGGCTCACAAGGTATTTTCTGGCCAGCCGGTGGACAAGCATGTTGATTGTGTTGTGGAGCTTTTTAAGTCATGGCCTCTGAATGCCTATTGCTTCTGTTGTCTGTTGTCCACAAAACTGGTGACCTAATTATGCCTGGTATCGTGGAAGTGTGTCTCCAATGTTCAACCTCTAGACTCAGACGCCCATGCTTTTACTCTGGAAGTTTTGATATATGGTGATCTCTTGCCTGTCTTCCATTTCCTTCTAGGCCGAATTTGTGACTGGTATCATGCCTTCAGTAGTATGAACGCATACGATATGTCGTCCTGATGCTTTTCCATTGCTTCTTGCTTTGCGGCTCCCTTTTCAAACTGTCTCTAGTCCTACCTTGGCTTCCTGGGTCGTATGGGTGTTGTCCTCCGTCAGAGTGGATATCACTCGATTTGGAGCCCATGGGCGTCTGCGTCGAAGGTAGTGGCTCTCGGTGGCCACCTTGATGACTTTAGCTGATGTTCCTCAGGACTGAGCTGTTTGTTGGATCCTGTTATTCCCAATCCATTCCTTGTTGCGGCCTGAGCGGCTGTTTGTCTCACGGTTTGAGATGGAAGTTTGCCCAAGTTTTTGGTTCCTGCACTACAGTTTGTATTCAGTCAGAATTCTCACATTAGTGAATAACCCTGATAATCTCCAGCTCTAAAATGCAACATGTAAGCCAGCAGGCTAGCTATGTGTTCAATGATAGCGTCTCTGCTTAAAGGGATACTATAAGCACCAAGACCACTTATTGTCAATGAAGCAGTCTAGGTGCCATGTGCCTGTAGTTTTAACCCTGCGATTGAAAACATTGTCATTCTGCAGGAACAGCAATGTTTACATTGCATAGTTAAATAACCTTTTTATTGGCTGTTATACTAATAGCCACTAGCACTAAGACCATGATGATTGATGATCTCAGTCAAAGAAGCGCAATGGCAGGACAGAAAGCATAGCGGTGATGGCTGAAAGTTAAGTAAAACTCATTCTTCAAACCCTCACATGGTGGGGGTGTCACTCATATAGACAGATTAAAAACTATAGCATTAGGAATACAAGATTTATTCTTAACGCTATAGTGCTCGTTTAAAGAAGGTACCTTAGCCACTGAAACAAAATCCTGAGCTTACTATACAGCGCAGTAAAAGTCAAAATTCTTCCTATAAACAATGCCCTATTTTCTTTTGATTCTGCCTCAAGAGTTGGCTAGCTTGGGAGGCGGGGGCTGACATTGCTGCAGTTCGGACGCCATTTTCAGCCATTTGGAATTTCACGATAGCAGACCCGCTCAAACCGACTCAAACTCACTGGCTACTGCTGGGGGAACTACAGGGGAGCTCCCATATGCCATTCTTCTGCGGATCGCAAACAAAAGGGTCGCGCAAAGTCCGATGGAGTGTTGGACCTAGAAGTCTGCAGGCCACTGCTGTGCACGTGGGATCCCTTGTGAACTGGGACACACTCCTATCCACCTGTTTGAGTGAGCCACTATCCATAGATATGGGTAAGAAAACGCTGAAACTGCAAGCATCCCCACCACCAGAGACCAGAGGCAAACTGCTAAAATGCACACCGAGGTCTCAGAAGATGAACTCATCTGAAATGGTGGCCTCCACTGACATATCAGACGAAGCACCAAGCCCACAGGATGCAGGACCCAGTACCAGACCTCTTGCTGCGGCTACCTCCAATGGAGCTCAAAGGTCTGAACCTGCTACCAAAGAAGACTTCACCACTTTGTACAATAACATAAGAAAGCTATTTGATGCTGACATAAATATGGTGCAGACTGAAGTCCAAGTGGTCACAGACCATGTCCAAGCCACAGATGAGAATGTCACAGACCTCAAACATAGTCTCACAGCTCTAGGAGAAACAATGCAACAGCTACAAGCCTCACATGCTACCCTTGCCCTGAAAGTGGAATCTTTAGATGACAGGAGTCGAAGAAAGAACATAAAGATCAGAGGGGTGTCTGATGCAGTAACCCTGGAGGAACTCCCCCATTTTACTCGGCGTCTGATAGCCTTTGCTGTGCCCAACTGCTTACAACAGACAGGGTCTACAGAATTACAAGGTCTCCCAGGGCTCCAACGTCCTCCCACATTATCCTGCGTTGCCAGTCATTCACCAATAAACAACGGCTTATGAAAAGCCTCCAAGACAAGGCACCCCTGGACATTGCGTCACATCATCTCACGTTCTTCCAGAATATTAACCGCACTGATGTGGTGCAGATCAATGCAACCCATCACCATGAAGCTATAAGAAGCAGATATCCCATACCGCTGGGCAGCACAGCAAACACTGTTGGTCACGAGAGAAGAGAAGACTTACAAAGCCACATCTCCGGAGGAAGTATCCTTACAACCCTCGGCATACAAGAGTCACGTCCTGCTGCAACATGACCTGTGGTGACTCATGCCTTGGATATTCGGAATGTGACACCATGTGTTCCATCCAGCGAACGGGACTCCGTAACCTAAATGTCTTAAGGGACTATGCATGCTCCTAGTTTATGTTCTAGCCAGTTTTGTGACTTTCATTTTATTTGTGTTCGTATTTGCTTTCTTGAATATCCGTACTAACCACCACTAGGTTATATCAAGGAATCCAAGACGTATTTTGCCAATGTTTGGATGGAGGTCTCCAACTTGTCAAATTTGCACTGTTTTTTTACTTTCTATTGATGAGATATAGATAGAGAGATATATATATATATATATATATATATATATATATCCGCTTCTTCAAATGCGGGGACCTTCCCCCCACCCCCGCTGCCCTGTTATGTTTTTTTATAGGCCCTGGTGGTCACTGGCGTACATACCACGGTCGCAGGGGTATGTACGCCAGTGCGGCCACATTTTGCCAGGGCCCCCCCGAGGCTGGCAGTGATGTCACTTGTCGGGCATCAGCACGAGTGAGCATTCTCCCCTGAGCGCTCTCTGCCCAGCTCCCTTGCGCACACCGTAGTGATGCCGGAGCCGGAATATGACGTCACTCCGGCATCAGTAAGCGGTGCACGAGGGAGCTGAACAGGAGGATCAGTGCTCCCTTGCCGCCTGCAGGACCAGCCGCCCAGCAACCCCACTGGACCCCAAGGAAATCTGGAATCCCCTCAGCATTCCCAAAGGTAGGGAGGTAGGGGGTTAAATTAAAAAAAAAAAAAAAGTGTGTGTGTCTGTTACTGAGTGTGTTAGTTTGTGTGTGTCTGCTAGTGAGTGTTAGCGAGTGTGTTAGTTTTTGTGTGTCAGTGAGTGTGTGTGTCTGTTACTGAGTGTTAGTTTTGTGTTAGTTTTTGTGTGTCAGTGTGTCAGTGTGTGTGTTAGTTTGTGTGTCAGTGAGTGTCACTGTGTGTGAGTGTATGTTTGTCAGTGAGAGTGTATGTTTTGTAAGTATGTGTCTGTCAGTGAGTGTATATGTATGTCTGTCACTGAGTGTGTGTCTGTCAGTAAATGGGTGTGTCTGTTAGCTAGTGTGTATGCGTCTGTTCATGAGAGTGTTTGTGTGTGGTTAAAACCCCTTCAGCACTTACACTCTAACGCCAGGCTCCCTTGGCGCTGGGGATCTCTCCGCCCCGATCCGCCTCTCAGCTCCGAATGCGCACACACGCATTCAAGCCACCCATTTCTCAATGCTTTCCTATGATTTTCACAGTGAGAATCGCGGAAGCACCTCTAGAGGCTGTCAGTGAGACAGCTACTAGAGGCTGGATTAACCCTCAGTGAAACATAGCAGTTTCTCTGAAACTACTATGTTTTTAACTGCAGGGTTAAAACTAGAGGGACCTGGCACCCAGACCACTTCATTGAGCTGAAGTGATCTGACTGCCTATAGTGGTCCTTAAATGTATGTGTATCTGCATGCACTGGCGTACATACCGCGGTCGCAGCCCTGCGACCAGGTGCTTGCCGCCATGTGTTGTGGCCCCGGCCCGCGCAGAGTAAGAGCCGGGGGTGGGGGACCCACGGATCAATTTTCGCACCGGGGCCCCATGGATCGTTTGTGTGCGCCACTGCTGGTGGTGCAACCCAAGTTTAACTGGAAGCTAAAATAGCCTTGACAACCCTTCCAGCACGTTAGGCTTTCATGTAGACATACCTGATAGCGCCCTATTTTTTCCATAGACTCTTTTATAGAAGATAAAACAATACTACAGGTTGCAACATCCAGCATTACCAACTTCAAGAGCAGTAACCTCTCAGCAGTTATAATTAAACCACACACATTGCACAGAGTAATGTACTCACATTTAAAATTTTACTTTACTCCTCTTCCTATTTGCCATATCGAATGCCTCCAAGGGTAACTGCCCCAGTTAAGGATTCATGTTTATTTCATAATTAAAATGAGTTGCACCTCAGCAGGGATCAGTCTCCATTCACCACTATAAATGGAGTCCTGAGCAGGGGAGTTCAAGTTTGGCTGAATTATAAAAAAAAATCTAAAATGAAAAAAACGCCAGGTCTAAGGAACGCCAGTGTGAGCACTCTACGCATGTTTCACCCGGCAGCTGTCACCGGGATCATCAGGAGTGCTAAGGGATGTCAGAGAATGGATTAGGTTTTAAATACAGCCTTATGGAGTTTCATTGGTTGATTAATCCCAGGAGGGGTAAATTCGCTAAGAAGTGATTTGTGTTTTTTTTTACCTCACCCGCATTTATTGCTGTGAGGGGTGAATTTAGGGAACTGGTGAAGTTTTACCTATTATTTGGAGGACATGGGATGAAGAAATGGTTGAGAATATAACCCAAGTGCGATGATTTTTGTAAATTGTTACCAGAAAATCTGAAGTAGATGGATCCGTTCTTCCTTAGTTGATTGATAATGTCTGTCTGTTTTAGTGCTATCAAATAATAATGTAAATATTTTCTCTAACAAAAAAAGATACAGAATTGATTGATGGTATTATAAAAGAGTTGGGATTAATAACCATAGTTAGGTTTTAAGAATAGATCAGGTTTTGAATACAGCCTTCTGGTTGATTAATCCCTGAGGGAATGGATTTGCTAAGTAATTACTTGTATTTTCTACCTCACCTGCATTTGTTGCTGTGAGGGGTGAATTTAGGAAACTGGTAAAGTTACCTATTATTTAGAAAACATAAGATGAAAAAAATGGTTGAAAATATATATAACCCAAGTGAGATGATTTTTGTAGATTGTTACTGGTGAATCCATCCCTCCTTGGTTGATTGGTAATGCCTATGTCTGTTTTAGTGCTATCAAATAAGGATGTAAATACTGCTTAGTAGGAATCCATATTTTCTCTGACAAAATAGATATAACATTTATTGATGGTATGATTAGAGCGCTGGGATTTGTAACCTTGGTTAAGTTTTAAAGAATGATAGTTACAAATTTTTAAAATAAAAATAATCAAAAATTGCAAACTGTAAGTCTAGAGCCTCCTAAGGGCTCCAATTATCCAAACTATAGTATCTCATTAAGTAATGAAAGCTGTATAGTTGAACTCCTCATTTAAGCCAAGAGGGTTTAAAGTTTTAAACATAAAAATCCATTTTGATTAACATTATAGTAAATTGGGGTTGATGTCGCCACTTCTTGGAGATCAGTTTAATTTCACAATGGCCTGAAATATAAGACTGGATACCTCACCATTATGGAAGTTATGTACGTGTCTGGCACTCGGTGTATCACTTCCTGAGTTGGTAGTGTATATGTGCTGTAGGATCCTGCGGCGGAGCTGTTGGGTAGTTTTTCCCATGTATTGGATCCTACTTATGCAATTAGCAAGGTAAACAACATTTCTGAAAGAACAGTTGATAAAAGTGTGAATTTTAACCGTCTGTTGGGTGATAAAGGATTTGATTTCTTTGGTGGGGGTGATGTGCTGGCAGGCTTTGCAGTGCCCACAGCAAAAAATGCCCTTCATTGATGTGTGTTGTGGTGCTGGTTGGGAAAGATGGCTGTGCACCAGTAAGTCACCCAAGTTTGGACTTCTTCTGGCTGTTATGGACGGATTCTTGGTGATCATAGGCGTGCGCACGGGGTGTGCCGGGTGTGCCTGGGCACACCCTAATCCCCGTGGCACGCCTATGGTTTGAGTCCTGCAGGAACAGCGTTCCTGCAGGCACTCAGTGCCCCCTGTTTCACCTCTTGCCCCTGTCATGGGAGGGCAAGAGGTGATGATTCCACCCACCCTGCAGCTCAGCCGCGGCGAGGGAGCTCTCTGCTCTCTGCTCTCTGCTCCCTCTCGCCGCGCGCTGATGCCGGGAGCCGGAATATGACGTCATATTCCGGCTCCCAGCTGCAGCAGACAGCCCGCGCGGCGAGAGGAAGCAGAGAGCAGACAGCACACAGCTCCCTCACCGCGCGCTGAACGGGTGGGGAATCCATCACCGCGGCTGAACTGCGGAAAGGCGCCCGCCCCCACTGGACCCCAGGGAAAAGTCCACCAGCACTCCAGGTAGGAGGCTGGGTGGACATTTTTTTTTTTAAATTAAAATATAATAATTTGTGTGTGTGTGTGTGTGTGTCAGTGTGTCTGTGAGTGTGTGAGTATGTGTCAGTGTGAGTGTGTGTCTGTGAGTGTGTGAGTATGTCAGTGTGTGTTTCTGTGAGTGTGTATGTGTCAGTGTGTGTTTCTGTGAGTGTGTGAGTATGTGTCAGTGTGAGTATGTGTCAGTGTGAGTGTGTGTGTGTGTCTGTGAGTGTGTGTGTCAGTGTGTGTCTGTGAGTGTGTGTGTGTGTGTGTCTGTGAGTGTATGAGTGTCTGTGAGTGTGTGTGTGTGTCTGTGAGTGTGCGTGTCTGTCTGTGAGTGTGTGTGAGTGTGTGTGTGTCTGTGAGTGTGTGTGTCTGTGAGTGTGTGTGTGTGTGTATATATATATATATATATATATATATATATATACACACACACACACACGCGCGGCGTGTGTTTGTGCTTTAGGGTGCACACCCTAATGCAATAGGCTGCGCACGCCTATGTTGGTGATTATTTGATTAGTGATGTCATCGCTCAGTAAGATTGGCCAGAATTTGTTGAGGATGTCTCTAATAGGTTCCTAGCCTATGACAAATCTGGCAATGCATCTAACTGTATTTTCCCCTGTAGTAATGGGCAAAGAATCTTCTTCATTTCTACCTTTTGTCACTCTGTTAAAGGCCCTTTTAAGGAGTCTCCCTGGGTACCCCTTTTCCCGAAAGAAAGTCCTTAATGTGTTGGCCTCTCTGATAAAATCATCATCATAAGTGCAATTACTACGGGCCCTTAATTATTGGCAGTGGGTCCATCAATGACCACAAACCCAATGTGTACATTGGTGTCTGCCTGCTCTCCCAAGTCGTTTGCTGTCCAGTTGCCAATTTTTTTATTACAGCAAGCAGCCACTGTCTGCTTACTCTTACCAGACATGCCCTCACTCCCATTATGGCTAGTGGTGGGATGGGGGAGATGTTCGTCCTCCCTTGTACTCATGTCAGTGTCCCTTGTTGACACCCAAAGGCATTTTTTTTAACTGTTTACCTGTTGACAATTAAAATGCCAAAAAGATTCAGGTTACATAATATTACTTAAGAATTATTATCCCTAAAACGATAAAAACCGTGATACATCTAGCATGCAAGAGCGACCGGACTTACTATGCTTTATGTAACTAAGTTATAAGCCTGTTTTAATAAGTATGATACAATGTAATGTCTTTCGATGTTTACACTGCACATTCTTTTTGTAATCCATTGCCCGACATACATGTCACGTATAAATAAAGAATTTAAGAAATAAAATAAAATGCCAAATCCAATATTTTCATTGCTAAGTATAATTCCATTTTGATATTTTTTCAAAATAGATATTATTAAAAATGGTATTTATTATCTCCTGATAAGCCTTTAATAATAATAATGTAATTGGTTAGAACCGAAGAAAGGCTTATTGGGATCAAATAAAATGCCGATAGATGTTATTGACTGTATTGTAATCAAGGACTGAGTTTTGGGAAGCCCTTCATGGTTTACAAACACTCTTCTACTATTTGTAGCTGACTCAATTGCTGCTGCAAATACAGATTCTGTATTCCACTGGCTGAGGAAGAGATATTGAGATAGCACAACATAGCCTGATCTGATTAGGACTTGCCACTTATTTTTTATTAACATAAATGGGGATATTATGTGTATTGTGTCAATGTTTCTCAACCTTTTACAGAGAAGTACTGAAGTGGGAAAGGGTTGGGCTAAGGTGTGTGTATGTGCAGTGGTGTATTTTGGATCTGTGCTGCCCTTGGTATGACGAAATTTGCCCACCTCTTCCTGTTAAAGACTAATACACACTTTGACTGACAGACAGACACTCTCAGATACACTGACATACACACACACAATCACTGGCTCACTCACAGGCACATAGTGACAGACACACACACACACACACACAGACATACACACACAATGATGCAGAAACACACCAACCCACATTCACTGACAGACACACACACTCACTGACACACTGACAGATATACAAACACTCACTGACAGACACACAGTGACAGACACACACAATCACTCAGACACACACTGACAGACATACACACAAACTCAAAGACACATGCACACACACTCACTCAGACACACACTGACAGACATACAGACAATCACTGACAGACACACACTGAAAGACATACACACACACATTTTCCCCCAACACTCACAGATTATTCTTATTTTTTTAATCTTAATTTAAATCCACCAAGCCTCCCTATGTTTTACCTGGGGTCCAGTGGGACTGTTGGGGATGCTGGGCAGGAAGGCAGGAGGGCAGACGTGCAGCTTGTCAGGCGGATGGGCGGCTGTGCTAAACTGCTCCCACCATTACTCCCCTCTCTGTCCCAGAAAGACAAGACAAGAGGTTCAGGTACACAGCTGGTCCATTCTTGCACCATAGCTGTACCCCAACACAGCTCCAATTCCAGAGAACCAACACACATGCAAGTGCTCTATGAATAAAGAATTAAAAAAAAAATAATAAAATGCCATATTCATTTTCAGCCCATGCATTAGGCTGAAAATTAAAAAAAAAAATTCCTGCTTGCCAAGGCAAGACAAGTGTTGTTAAAAAGAGAATCCTTCAGCAATGCAGGTTACATAATTGGTGCATGTGAAGAGAGCACCTTCTTGAGGAACCAGGATCTGGGCACCATAGTCTTTAAGGAATTTCATTAGCCCTCTGGGCAGAGACATCATGTACTCTGGATCTTAGCCAAAAATCTTTTAAACAATAATAAACAAAAAGAGCTAAACTTTAAGGAACGTGAGGAATAATTGGAGGAATCAAATAATCATATTTACATAAAGAGCAGGACAATTTGAATATTTACTATACAAAATGACAGCACTCTGTATGTGATTCAGCAGGCAAACATAATCCAATTTTATATATAAACATTTTTCAATTTCAAAACTCAGTACCACTTTATAGAATGAATTAACTATAAAACATCAAAAACTAAATTCCCGCTTTCCTGATCAAAACATGGCAGCATTAACCAATGGGTTAGCTCTTAACCACACAGCAGTAACAGGAAGCAGAACTATTCAGTTATGACTCCCTGCTCCTTATCACATAGTCTTTATTTCCTGTCCTTTACATACATGGTCACTTGGTCTAAACCCGTATCAGGTGGTGTTTATTCCTGCTATTTACATGATGCTGTTTTTGTGAATAATATTCTTGGAATGCTGTTTATAATTAGGTGCCAATGGTTACCAGCTTTTGGTTAGTGTTCTTCCCATTGTAAATAACCTACTTATCTTGATGAGCAATATCTAATCATTCTGATTCATATGTTTTTCCATAACTTATGACACTTACAGCACCTGCGGGGAGTCCTATTGGTCTACATTTTCATAGTTATAACTGTTTTTTTTTGTCTCTAAATTTTTGCACAGTGGAAGAATTTTGTACAATTTTTTTCTTTAGTTCAGGTAGTCCAATAATTACCATTGTGGCAGTACGGATTGTCCGAATATTGAATCTTGCAGACCCCCAGTATCTAATTTAATATTGTTGTCCATGGTGTATTTTCTCTGTATTAGAGAATACTTGTCTGAATGGTTATTATTGCCTAAATATATTTTTATTTTATATTTTTCTTTTACTATAGCACAAGGAAACAACAATTTGCAAGAAGGGTCTTTCACTATTTCTTGGACCCTGACTTGTTTTAGCCATGGCATGTGGTTTAAAGACTTGTTTCTTTTTGCCTGGTTATCTTTAACGTATTCTCTACCTGGCACTACATTGATCCCAGGTGTTCTCTGTGATTGAATCCTATGGTATTACTGACCAGCGGCCTCTGGAGCATACTCATTTGCCAGAGCAGATATAGTGTTGAGATTTAATTGATTACTCAATTGATTTTTATTTAAATGTTTATTAGGTAGATGCAGCTAGTTATGGTTTCTGATAGCTATTATCTGTATCCAAATTCTATTCCTCCTGTTATATATTCTTCTTCGGTATTACCCATTGGTTGAAGCCATCATGTTTTCTTCAGAAATAAAGAAAACGGTTTCCTTACTTCTAGTAATATTCTTATCCTGGTCAATCACACGGCAGCATTACGTTCCTACATTCCTTCTATAAGGTTTGTGGAGCTAGTCACAAAGACTACACGATAACAAGGTGGCAGCTCTATTTATACGGATTTCATAGTTACTTATCACTTCTGCTGGGAGGGGAGGAGCCAACTCATTGGTAAACCCTGTCTTGTTGATTGATCAGGAAAAGACTACTTTAAAGGGACACTATAGTCACCAAAACAACTTTAGCTTAATGAAACAGTTTTGTTGTATAGATCATGCCCCTGCAGTCTCAATGCTCAATTATCTGCCATTTAGGCAAAGAGATAAATCACTTTGTTTATGAACCCTAGTCACATCTCACTGCATGTGACTTGTACAGCCTTCTTAAACACTTCCTGTAAAGAGACATCTAATGTTTATCCTCCCTTTATTGCAAGTTCTGTTTTAGATTTTCTTATCCCCTGTTATATTAATAGCTTGATAGACCCTGCAAGAGTCTGCTGTATGTGATTAAAGTTCAATTTACAGAGCAAGAGATAAAAATTGTTTAATGTAAATTACATCAGATTGAAAGTGAAACCAGTTTTTTCACGCAGGCTGTGTCAATCAGGGCCAGGGGAGGTGTGTCAAGGGCTGCATTAACAGAAACAAAGTGATTTAACTCCTAAATGGCAGTGAAATGAGCAGTGAAACCTGAGAGGCATGATCTATACACTAAAACTGCTTCATTAAGCTAAGGTTGTTTAGGTGACTATAGTGGCCCTTTAAGTGTGGACACAGTTTTCCTTTTTAAAGACTCTATGCCAGCATAGAATGTTCCAATTGTTTAGCATACACAGCTTTACAGACCCATGCTAAATTATAACAAGACAATTATCTGATGTAATAAGAGCTTTAAGTGCAGAATATTATTATGACAGATGGCATAGACCAGTGATGGCGAACCTTTTTGAGCCCGAGTGCACAAACCGTAATACATGCCAATTTTTTTCCCTCAAAGTGCCAAAACGGCAATTAAACCTGAATACTGAGGTTTAAGTTTAGAAAAAACAACTCCTACAGTTGTCCGAATTAATTAACATCTCTGTGTATTAAGCAGTTTGTGTGTGTGCTTGGCAGTCTGTCTGTATTTAGTAGACTGCTGAATACACACACAGACTGCTGAGTACACACAGACTGCTAAATACACACACACACAGACTGCTGAGTACTCACGCACACACACACAGACTGCTGAGTACACAAACAGACTGCTGAGTACACACACACACACACAGACTGCTAAATACATACACACAGACTGCTGAGTACACACAGAATGCTAAATACACACACACACACACAGACTGCTAAATACACACACAGACTGCTGAGTACACACACACACACACACACACAGACTGCTGAGTACACACACACACACAGACTGCTGAGTACACACACACAGACTGCTGAGTGTACACAGACTGCTGAGTGTACACAGACTGCATTGAGGGCTACAGTGTATGTGTTTGTGTGTGTGTGTGTGTGTGTGTATGTGGGGTGATGTGGGGTGCAGGGGTGGTGTGTGTGGGGTGATGTGTGTTTGTGTGTGGTGATGTGGGGTGGTGTGTGTGGTGATGTGTGTGTGTGTGTGTGTGTGTGGGGTGATATGTGTAGGGCAGGGGTGCTGTATGTCGTCCCCCTCCCTCCCCACTGTTTTCTTTCCCCCATCCCACACTCAGTTTTCTCCCCCCATCTCTCCCTCAGTTTCCCCCTCCCATCTCTCCCTCAGTTTCCCCCTCCCATATCTCCCTCTTTTTTCCCTCATCTCTCCCTCAGTTTCCCCCACCTCCCTCAGTTCCCCATCTCCCCTCAGTTCCCCTCCATCTCTCCCTCAGTTCCCCCATACCCCTCCCCTCCCATCTCTCCCTCTCCCATCTCTCCCCTCAGTTTCCCTCCCATCTCCCTCCTCCCATCCCCTCTCCCTCAGTTTCCCCCCTCCCATACCTCCCTCAGTTTTCCCCCCTCCCATACCTCCCTCAGTTTTCTTCCCTCCCATCTCTCCCTCAGTTTTCTCCCCTCCCATCTCTCCCTTAGTTTTCTCCCCTCCCATCTCTCCCTTAGTTCCTCCCTCTCCCATCTCTCCCTCAGTTTTCTCCCCTCCCATCTCTCCCTCAGTTTTTCCCTCCCATTTCTCCCTCAGTTTTATTCCCTCCCATTTTCTCCCTCAGTTTTAAACCCCCCCATACCTCCCTCGGTTTCCCGCCCCCCCATCTCTCCCTCAGTCTCCTACCTTGTAGCGTGGCCGAGCGCGGAGCTCAGTTTCCTGTACCCGGCCGGACAGGAAGTGATTTATCTGTGAGCACTTAATTTCTGGCCACCCGGGTACAGGAAACAAAAGTTCCTGTACCGCGGTGCGCTCGGCCACGCTACACAGAGTGCCTGGCACGAGGGAGCGCTCTGTGCTCACCTCCTGCCGGTCACTCTGGCTTTGCACCCGCCGGGCCGGTGCTCCCTAAGGCGGCCACTTGTGCCGCCTTATGGATGCGCCGGCGGAGCGCACCCTCCCTCCGGCAACCTATGGCCGCATGCCCACAGAGTGGGCTCGGCGTGCCACCTGTGGCACGCGTGCCATAGGTTCGCCATCACTGGCATAGACCGTATCTCGTAATTATGAACTTGGTCAAAAGTATTGGACTTATCTGTTACAGAAGTGGTAAATACAAAATGTACAATATAATCCTAAGTATCTCTAAACATTAGTGCTTACTTTGAGCATCACATAAAAAGAGCACTATGTATCTAATGCTCAAAAGGTGTTTTCTACTATAATTTATATAAAAAAAAAAAGAATAATACAATGCTGAAAAGTTAAATAAATTGCAAATCATGTAAACACAGCATACTTTACAAATGCAAGTTATGTGAATTAGGGTTATTATTCTCGGAAATTTCATAGAAAACAATATTTATGTATCATCTGGCACATCTTGTGAACTATTCAAAAATCAGTCCACTCAATGTCTCAGGGAATTGTCTATTGGCAAGCTTGCTTTTAGTATTGTGTTTCTTTTCTAAGAGAAAATGGACCAGTATATCAGATTAAAAAGAATGTACGCTGCTGGAAATATCAATCTTGAATATTTGTCAATAGCATGAGTGTCAATGCGCATGCTAACATATGCACGCTGGCTTTTTCTTCTATTGGAGTTCCTTTCATTGCTGAGTGCCAGTTGCACCATGATTCTGTCGTCCTTCTCTCCATTTTCCGACACAAAATGTCCCAGGTTGTTTACCTCGCCATCGCTATAACTGCTGTCCATCATTGAGCGTGGCTGGGCAACTCCACAAGTGCAGGGTATCTGCAAGGTGAAAATTACAAAATGTCACTCAGTAAAACACAGTTGCTGTTGTTGCCTGATCTGGACTAATGTAATTGGAACTGACTTTCTAGTAATATTGGTTGAACAAGTATTAAGCAGGATTCTGATTCAGAGAACCTATATAGGCATTACAGTATATAAAGAGTCTGAGTCAGCCTGCTTTAAGGAGCTTAACATTGATTTGGGTCAAAGAAAAAATGTAAGAATAATGGTAACATTGAAAATGGAAGCATGTCCATATGCATGTGCAGCAGCTTTTAAATAAACAAGATCGTTCACCTGAAAAGTATCTTCACATCAATCAAAAGACCATAAACTATGTGTATTGGCATTCACAAATATAGATAAAATTATTTGTAACATACTCTTCTAGAATTTGATTATACATCTAGATGACCAATGGACATAAAATCCAGAGGACAAAGTAAAGTCCTTATATGAATATAATGTAATTAAAATTAAATGTATTTATATATCGTTAAAAAGGAACAGTAATTGAACCAAAGAGACAAAAAAGAAAAAGAAAAAAAAAGAAATGGGGTAGAAGTGGTTAAGGAGCAATGGAGGCTGCTTGTTAAAGGAATGATAAGATAGAAACAATTATGAATCATAATCGTATATAGGTTACAAGGTAGTTGTGGTGAGTAAAAAAATATACTCAGAGTTTGAACAATATAATACATATAGCAAGGAAATATATACAATATAGCAATTAAATCATATAACCTAAGGATAGCAGAGAAATAATGTATCTGAAAAACATTATATAGCTAAGCCTTCATTGAACTTGCTAAACACTGCATCGACTTCAAGGTCGCTGTCTGAAAAAATAATATTGTAATAAAGGCAAAAGGCTAGGTTTATTGTAAAACAGAGACAAGTATAAAGTAAATCCGTCTGTTATCAGCTAGTTGTGGTGAGTAAAAAAAAATATATACTCACAGAGAGGTTGAACCCAATAGCTTAGTTGCTAAGCAGTGTAATACCTATGAAATGATGCCTCAAGGGAATATATACAATGTTGCAAAAAATTCTATGCCATGATTCCCTTTTAATTCAGACGTTTGGTCCTTAAGGAGTTAAAGCAGCATTGTCATGCTGAACTTACCTTTCTTTAATCGATTCCTCTTCTCTCCCTCTGTCATGATCTGTTCTTCATTTCTTCCTGTCTACTCTAGTTTTCTTTAAAACAACATTAGACAAAGTAGGGACTGGGGACTACTTTGTCTTATGGAGGTTTCCTACGCATGACCGACCGAGGAGCAAGTGTGCTTTATTTCCGGTGGTCAGAGCAATTTTTCCACAATTCTCACCTTTGATCCGTGATCTCGCGATGCTTCCTGTCAGTATTCCCGGACGTCCTGTCAATTAGACAGAACGCCAGCGAAACTACCGAATTTCGTCTTAAAGAACCACTATAGGCACCCAGACCACTTCAGCTTAATGAGGTGGTCTGGGTGCCTGGTCCATCTAGGGTTAACCCTTTTTTCTATAAACATAGCAGTTTCAGAAAAACTGCTATGTTTATGTTTGGGTTAATCCAGCCTCTAGTGGCTGTCTCACTGACAGCCGCTAGAGGCGCTTCTACGTTTCTCACTGTGAAAATCACAGTGAGAAGATGCCAGCGTCCATAGGAAAGCATTGTGAATGCTTTCCTATGGACTGGCTGAATGCGCGCGGCTCCTGCCGCGCATGCGCATTCAGCCGAAGAGAGGGAGAAGAGGAGGAGGAGAGTTCCCCGCTCGGCGTTGGAGAAAGAGGTAAGTTTAACCCCTTCCTCTCCATCCAGCCTGGCGGGAGGGGGACCCTGAGGGTGGGGGCACCCTCAGGGCACTATAGTGCCAGGAAAACGAGTATGTTTTCCTGACACTATAGTGGTCCTTTAACAGAATGAGAACAGTTTTTAAATTCGGGACTTTGTTCAGATCGGAATTTCATTCTAATGAATGAAACACTGATCCTATTCGTGCCGCTGCTGCATCTTGCAGCTGCTTAGTAGATAACTCCCTAATTCCCACGGTATCAGGGAGCTATCTACCAAAAGGATGAAAGACCAAGATTGGTCTTTAAGTCATATTTACTAATACTAAGTAAAGATTACTTAGTGTTAGTAAATTCTGCCCCTACTCGCTATACCGCTAATGGGGCATGTCAAGTAAACAGTGTGCAGCCTGTGGCTGCTTACTGTTAAAAAATGTAAATACCCCCCCACCCCTCAATAAATGGCCTTATGGTGAGGCATCTCACCAGTGGGGGGAGGAGCGGCAGGTGGGGGCCCTAAATGAAAATAAGGGGAAGGTAGAGGGGGACCTATTGTCCTCCCCCGCGGTCCCCACCCCTAAGAGGTGGGTGAGAGCCCTAAATAAAAATGTTGACCCCCCAGGTGACTAGGGGTCCCCATGCCCCTAGTCACCCCCCCACCCTAAAATTAATAAACCCCTACCTACCCCCCTCACCCTAAAAGTGTGTGGGGGGGGGACATTAAAACTAAATCCCTGTAAATAAAAAAAAAAACTTACCATTTGATGTCTTCTTTTTTCTAAAATCTTTTTTTCCAGCCCCCAAAAAAGGCCAAATAAAAGTCCATAATACCCGTTGGACTTTGAAAATAAAATAAAAAACATGAGCACAAAAAAATAATCCATCTTCACCCATGAGGGGCACCACACAGACTGAGCTCCGCAGGGCGGGGAAGGCTTATAAAGCCTTCCCACACCCTGCAATTAGGCTCAGAGCGCTCTGATTGGTTGATTTAAGCCAACTAATCAGAATGCTCTGACAGGTAAATGAAGAGACTGACAGGTAAGTCTCTAAATTTACCTGTCACAGCACTCTGATTGGTTGGATTGGAATCCAACCAATCAGAGTGCTCTGTGTCATTTTTCCCATGCTGTGTAATTTGATTCCTAACAACACTCTGATTGGTTGTTATCAAAACATAACATGACTGATTATTCCTTATTCTTACATAAGGGGACCAGGTGAGCCGCTTTCTTGATTGCCTTGGATGAAGGCACTTTAGTAGTGCTGAAACGAGTGTCGGTTTACTTTCTGTTTGTCACAGCACATTTTCTTTTGTTGCACAATGGGTACTTATTTATTATGGGGCATTATTCAAGACTCCAGTTTCAGTAGCTATGTGGACGTAATTGGAGGATATTCTTTCGGTGTAATGGGGTATTCTAAGGGAGTATTAGCTTTCTACTTAGTTTGGTGTTTAGCAGCAACGAGCCCTCTATTGTGCCTTAGAACTTTTTTAGTCAGTGACCTTGAAGTCAATATCTTTTTAAGTTAGTTCCTAGAAGGCTGCTGCAAGCTATATACTTCCCCCCTTTGTATTTACAATCTATCTTGTATAACTTTTCCTTGTAGCAATTTTTATTGTTACATTGTTATATTGTTAATACTTGATTAATACAGTTTATCCATAATAGTGGTTTTATCTTGGAGGACTTTTTTTGCCTCTGTTTATTGCCATAATTGGTTCAATATAAACGGCATATAAATTTATACCAGAGTGACATCCTCTCAGGTAGCAGCCTGAGTTGCTATATTGCTAAATTAGAAATAATTCATTTTTCCCTGTTTATTCATAATAGTGGGGTTGACTTGTAGGGCTTCAAATTGCCTTTCATTTTAGCCATAAGTGGTTTGAAGTTGACATCTAAATCTTTTCACTAATAGCTAAGTCACAGTCACAATGAGTATAGTCCATTCAACACTGTACATCTGTAATAGTGGTATTGATTCATAGGGCTTCTGTATTGCCTTTTCATTATAGCCAAATGAGATCCTGTGTAGTCAATATATAAAATCTTTTTGGGGTATGTAACTTCCACCACCATTACCCTCAGTCCACATTCTATCCAGTCTACTTTAGAGTGTGTCCTGTTTATTATAGAGCCTTTACAGGTGTATGGCTCTTTTTTAATGGGTTTATGTTATATATGTCTTTTCCTCCAAATACTTAATAAAATAAAATCTATTTAAATATATATTTTTTCATATGTTCATTGTATATTTTGCAAGCAACCTCGCTTTGTGTCCATTGGATTTGTATCCTCTGGACATTTATGCATTTGTATTCCTTATGCTACCAGCATACGAGCACCATGCTAATCCACTCACAACCCTTCCTAAGTGGCATACACCAAGCCATACTCTCAGAGGGTCCATTATCCCTCATTATGAATGTAACCCTTAAATCTCTTATTTTGCCATTGTGTTTCAGCATAATGTCAGTAGTTCGGTGTAACCAGGCCACTTACGTTGTGACACGTACAATCGTTACATCTCATACAGCCCATTATCCAGCAACTCAGCTCTGATGTCATTTCCAGCCTACTAGGGTGTGCTACAACACTATCATACCTCGGCCCTCCACGTGCTATTCAGTACAGCACAAATTTTCGTCTGCTCATTTGGGCACTCACATATGGTATAAGATTTACATTTGGCATAAGTTTATTTTGGCATACAGCCTGCCCAACAATGTCGCTACATACGGCCCTCACTAGGCAGTCTCTTAAACGTTAAATATTACGTTACGTTACGAGCAATTACGTATGACTATGGCCTCATTAGGCCACTCATTTTTCTTCCTATAACCCTCTTTGTCAGCATTCTCAACAGTCACAGACACTTGCTGGATCTCCAGAGTTAGTTTCTTTTTTTGTTTTTGTAAATAAAGTTTTTATTAGCAGTTCAGACAATAACAGATAGCAGAACTTATATTGTCAGTGAGACTCGCAGGTCTCCAATTGCGTCTGACATGAGTACCATCAGTTTTAGGTGGATCTTTATAGAGCGTTATCGGAAGCGGATGGCTGCCGGCCCACACCAGTGAGGGCGGAACAATTCTATAGTTGAACCTCAATCAAATGGTGAGTAGTGCGGTAGGTCCCAGGTCACGTCCTCTAACATGGGGAGTGAGAAAGGGGTCGTTTTGCGAGATCGGGTCCTATAGTCTTGCACCTGGTCTGGGACTCCCTTTCCTGTTGTCTTTTCCTTAACTTCGGTGGTGCCTAGGTATGTTGCGGGTTCTCTCCTGGGTCATCTACCCTCTCGTTCTGAGTCCGCGTCCCCCCTCCCGAGGGGGGGAGCGCCCAGCGGCGTGGTCAGTTGTCTCTGTCGTTTTGCTTACTTGTGGGCGGTAATCGTTGTCGTGCTCCAGTCGCTCTCCACGTGTGGTATCTGTGGTGTGTCTGGAGTGTTTCCCCCCTCGGGTGGGGATGGTGTGATGTCTCAGTGCTCAGTTGTATCAGTCATCTAGTGTTGACTTATGTTTGCTGTTTATTGTAGGAGTTCCCACGTCATGGGACCCCCCCGAGTCTATTGAGCGATGTCTCGTTGGGCCCACGTCCCATGGGGAAATCGTGGTGCGTTCTTGGGCTCAGATATATTGTGGCCCTGTTGCGCCAGGCGGTCCCCGACCTCGCCCGGGGAAAGAAAAAGGAGAGAGGGGGAAGAGATAGGGATGGGTGGGAATGTGTAAGGGTGGGAGGTCTGGAAGGTGTGGGGCATAGTTATGGTGTGGCATGAGTCTATCCCGAGTTAGTCTATCAGGGCAGGTCTGGTTGAGGTGGGGGGGGGGGAGAGAGAGGTTGTGTTAAGATGCGCGTGTTGGTCCAGCTGGCTAGGATCCCTGTGGTGACCCATCCCCTGTCCTTGTTTGTGACGTGTATAGGTACCATGGTGTCCACATTTCAAGATGTTTGTCCCTCCTTCCAAGTATTTCAGCGTATCTCGCCTCAGCTGTGTGGATCTCTTCTATTCTCTGCAGCCATTCCGTTTTGGAAGGTGGCTGGGTTTGCTTCCATCTCGCTGGGATCAGTGCTTTGGCCGCATTAAGCAGGTGTCGTAGGATTGAGCGTTTGTATTGTGCCAGCTGTCCCGTGGAGAAGTGTAGGAGCACAGCCTCTATGCTAAAGTCTGGTGGGTCACCTAGAATTGTAGTGATTTCCCGGTTTACCTCTTCCCAGAATGGCTTGATCCCAGGGCAATCCCACCAAATGTGGCGTAGTGTGCCTGGCTGCGCTTCGCATCTCCAGCATGTATCTGGAACCCCTGGGAATATCCTGTGTAGTTTTGCTGGTGTTCTGTACCACTGGGAGATCAGCTTGTAGTTCACCTCCTGGTACCTGGTGCTTATGGAGCTTTTGTGTTGTAATATGAGAATTTGCGCCCATTGGGCGTCTGTGAAGGTTCTGTCTGTCAATTCCTCCCACTGCCTCTGGAAGGCGTTGTTTCTGGAAAGTTCCCCTGTGAGCAGTTGTTGGTATATGCCCGATACTCTGCCATCTGCCTCTGCATAGCTCTCGCAGAGGTGTTCAAACCAGGTCCATTCTCTGTGTACTGCTCCCCTGTTGGGCAGATTGTGGTAGAAGTGTCTCAGCTGTGCGTAATGGAAACTGTGCATTATCGTCAGACGATCTGTGTCCGCCTAGTCTTGAAGGCTGCGCAGGCTGGCGTTTGTCAGGGCCGAACTCAGGGGTACATATCCCTCTGCTCCATGTGTTGGCCACGCGTTCGCGTGTAGTCCCCCTCCTATGGTTACGTTATATGTTAGGGGGATCAGGGGGCTTGGCTGTGGCGAGATGTGAGCTTCCCTTCGCAGGGTGGACCAGGTTTTCAGCGTCTGCGTCACTGGGGATTCCGTACCCAGAGCTTGTGTAGCCCCTGTCGGGCGGTGCCAGATGTATGTGTGGAGTGCTCTGTTTGTGCTTTCCCTGTCCAGCCTCATCCATAGTTTGTTGGTGGGGGCCGTGTGCCATTCTCGAATTCTCTGGAGTACTGTCGCGTGGAAGTATTTCCGAAAGTCAGGCAGGGCCAGGCCTCCCCATGGTTTTGGCAAGCATAGTCTGTCATGTTTAAGCCGTGGCCTCCCCTCCTTCCAGACATATTTTGTTACCACTGTTTTGAGCTTGGTGAAGAAGTCCTGTGGCAGGTGCCAGGGAATAGTGCTGAAGCAGTAGAGGAGGCGGGGGAGGATATTCATTTTGACCACCGCTATTCGGCCTTGCCAAGATATGTGATCGTACGACCATCTCGACAGGTCCGTCAGTACGTTGCGTAGGAGGGGTGTATAGTTCCTATCGTATGTCTCGCCCGGGTCACGGCAGAGCCAAATCCCTAGGTAGCGCATCTGCTCCTTGCACCAGTGGAAAGGGAACTTGCGTTGGAGTCTCTCCTGCGCGTTCCTTTCGGTGTGTATTGCCAGAATTTCTCATTTTGCTAGATTTAGCTTGAGTCCTGATATCTGCCCATATTGCTTGAACTCCCGTAGGAGGGCCGGCAGTGTGCCCTGAGGTTCCGCGACGAAGAAGAGCATATCATCCGCGTATGCGGCCACCTTGTGTGTCTGATCTTTCTGTTTGAATCCCTGGATCTTTGGTGTCCTTCTGATCTTGTCTAGAAACGGCTCTAATGAGAGGGCGAAGAGGAGGGGGGACAGCGGGCATCCCTGTCTGGTTCCGTTGTTGATGTCAAAGTTGTCTGTAAGTGCTACATTTACCCGTACTCTGGCAGTTGGGTCGGTGTATAGTGCCGTTATCCAGGTGAGTATGCCGTTCCCCAGACCCATCACCGTCAGCGCTGCCGTCATGAAGCTCCACCTTACCCAGTCGAACGCCTTTTCTGCGTCCGTGGAGAGCATAAGGAAGTCCGATGTTCCCCTACGCGCCAGGCTTTGTATAGTGAACGCCCGCAGGGTGCTATCCCTGGCCTCTCTTCCCGGGATGAACCCCGTCTGGTCTGGGTGGACTAGCCTTGGCAAGAATTGTTGCAGTCGCGTAGCTAGCACCTTGGAGAAGATCTTCACGTCCACATTCAGTAGTGATATGGGTCGGTAATTGCCACAGATTTCCGGGCTCTTGCCAGGTTTGGGAATCACTGTGATTATTGCTGCTAGGGATTCTCTGTGAAATTTACCCCCGTCTCGGAGGTGGTTGCAGGCGTTGGCAATACGTGGGGCTAGGATGTCTCTGAACTTTTTATAATAGCCTGCCGAGAACCCGTCCGGGCCCGGTGCCTTCCCATTTTTTGTGGTTTTTATCACTGCCAGTATCTCGTCTGTAGATATCGGGGCGTCTAGGGCGTCTGCTTCCTGCTGGGATAGGGCTTCAGGGTTGAAGTCTCTGAGGTAGCGTGCGATGTCTCCTGCGGTTCTGATCTCGTCCGCGTCCGGGGTTTCGGGCGGTATGTTATACAAGTCTTCGTAGTACGAGCGGAATTCGTTAGCGATCTCCTCAGGGAATTGCGTAGTGGTGCCCCTGGCTGTTCGCAGTGCGCTCACCTGTGCGCTTGTTTGTTGGTTCCGCAACATGCGGGCTAGTAGCTTTCCTCCCTTGTTGGCATGGATGTAGAAGAAGGCCTTCGATCTCTGGATCGACCTGTGGTGTTTACGGGCTATCAGGTCCGACAGTTGCCGTCTGAGGGTCAAAAGAGTGCGGTAATGCTCCTCTTGTCGGGTCCTCTTGTGCAGCGTTTCCAGCGTTGCTATCTGTTCCGCTAGTGCCGTCATTTGTCGTTGTGCTTCTCTATTTTTCTGCGCTGATATCCGGATAAGTAGCCCCCTGAGGACGCTTTTGTGGGCCTCCCACAGAGTCAGTGCGGAGATTTCTTAGGTGTCGTTTTCAGTGAAGTAGTTATTCAGTTGTTCCACTAGTTGTGCCTGCGTCGTTACGTCGGAGAGGAGTAGTTCATTTAAGCGCCATACGGTCCGGGTAGGTCTGTATAGGGGTGATTCCATGCGCATGTATACTGCGCTATGGTCCGACCATGGAGTGGGGCGGATGTCTGTCTGCAGTAGTTCTTGCAGTCCTTCTTGTTGGATAAAAAGGTAGTCTATCCTAGCGTGCCTGTTGTGCATGGCCGAGTAATGCGTGTAATCTCGGTCTCCTGGGTGTAAGATACGCCATACGTCCACCAGTCGCAGGTCGTGTAGAGTCCTTCGGATCATCCGAATGGCTGTTTGTGGGATGCTGCTATGTCCTGTTGAGGAGTCCAGGATCGGTTCTAGTGGGGTGTTGAAGTCCCCCCCCCACCACAAGGGCACCTTCCGTGAAGTTGGCGAGCTTGAGTAGTGTGTTGCGGAGAAATTTCGCTTGTTTGGCGTTTGGGGCGTAGATTGAAGTGAACGTGTACGTCTTCTGGGCTATCGTCCCCTTTACGAATAGGTATCTGCCATTCGGATCGGCCAGCGCGTCGCTTCGGTGGAAGTGAAGGTTGGAGGCTGTCTGGGAAGCGTCTATCTGTCAATCGATGCGTTTCGGCCGCTCTCAGGTGCGTTTCTTGCAGCAGTGCTATGGACACGTGTTGCTTTTTCAGTTCTCGTAGGAGGTGCGTGCGTTTCTCAGGGGCGTTCAGTCCTCTGCAGTTCTGCGTGATGATTTGGAAGGGGGCATCTGTGAATGCCATGGTGTAGGGTCTTCAGGACACCTGGGGTTCGAGTGTGTCAGTTGCCAAAGGGGGTTAGGGAGGGAAGAGGGGGAGGGAGGGTTTTCCAAGTCCGGGCGGGGCCGGGGGTCCCCAAGGCGTCTAGATCCCTCGTAGTGAGGGTGACCTGTGTGACTGGATCGAGTATCAGGTCCGCACCGTCTTCTAGATTCCTAGGACAGCCGCGGATCTGTCTCCCCCAGTAGTTTGGTAGAACACAGGTCCTGTTGGGGGTGGACCGGTCAGGCGGTCAGCGTGAAGAGTACCTGTCTGGTCTCAGGTGTCTGAGGATGGTCATGTAGTGTCAGCTCAGGAGTTAGGTCCGATCCCCACTTATGTATATGCTAGTCATTGGCGCTGTCTCTTTTGTTTTGTCTGCTCTATGGTCACGGCTGGGTGTCTGGTTGGCTTAGGATGTCGTGGTCCTCCCAATGTCATGGGCCGGTTTGGGCCGTGGTGACAACCGCTGTCTCCCGGAGGAATATTCGCTGCTGTGAGCTTCCAGGGGGGGGCCTCTGCCACGTCAGGCCGGGCAGGTGAGATCTGTCTGGGTTAGGGCAGTTCGGTGGTAGGGCGGGGGCTCCCACTGATGGGTTTTTGCCAGCCTATCTTTCCAATGGCCTGGGCCTTTCCATATCTGTGGTACTCTGTCACCTTGGGTTGGTGGGTCATGGGTGCGTGGTGTCATCGCAGCCATCATAAACAGTGCATTAATTCGCTTGACATTTTCCACCCCTCCATCCCCTGCCCCACCTCCCATCCACCCCGCCCCTGCTGGGCCCCCTCTTCCGGTACATGGTAAGAAGCTTTTCAAATTACAATCATCCCGTTGCTCCCCCGTCCCCCACCCCCCAGCATTAAGTATTGCCTGTCTTATTACTGTCTGGACTTTTCCAGGCCAGTCTCAGAGTTAGTTTCTTACTAGGAATATAGTTGTATAACATACTCTCTCATACTATTTTGCCCTTCATATGGAAGGACACACAGAGGGAACTCATACCTAGATACAACATGTTTTAATTATCTTCGCTATCCTCATGTTGATGGGACTAAGGTTAGATACATAGTTTTGTTCCCTTATTGGCTCGATTCTACTATCTATACTAGTCGCCCCGTTGGTGATGTCTTATTTTACAAACTCAAAACAGGTACATTGTGCCCTTATCTCCAGTTACACTTACACCACACTGGACACATTCCCATTAGCATTCCAAGTGTGTCATTAGGTTCCTCTCTACAAGAGTCCATTCTCAAGCTCATCCACACTAGTTGGGCCAGGTATCTAGTTCTTTTACCAGCCATCAACTCATTACGCTCCTATTCCCCTACACTCCTTTGGGATAGATCAACCGACTGTGAAGGGTAATGGTGCTGGCCATAATCTAGTTTAAAGGTAATCCGATCCCATGAGGCCAACTCCCATCCTCAAATGGAGGTATTAGCCCATCGGCACAACTCATAATTAGAGCCTCGCTTCAAACTCTATAGGTTATTAGACAGGGCCACACTGGTCACGGCCACTTGCATTGAAGCTCTTACTTGTCACAAGACACCAACATTCCTGCCACTCCGTTCAGTGGCCTCATCCCTCGGCCCAATTCATGTCTAGAGCCTCTTAAAGCCACTTGGCAAAATAGTAAGGCCTCTCGTATTCCTGGTTTAGCTAATTTATTCACCAGTTGGGCACTAAGTAAGAAGCCAGTTGATACAGGGTTACACTTTCATGGCACGACTGTTAAATTACACGTTATTTATCACCTCATACTACGTCTCATACATAGGTGCAAGGAGGTTTGTCACCCCTGAGTTCCCTCAACAAACCCTCCACCCCAGACAAATCATACACTCGAACCTAGAACATGATACCGCTTGGCCAGTCCCGTGCGATCCTGGACAAGTCCAATTGCGGATGTCCAGACATAAAGAATACCATTCCCTGCCATAACCCACGAACAGGATTCATGATTAATCTACCCCGAGATTTGCAGACAGCCTACCAGATTGATAACCGTGAAATCTGACATCTGTTCACCTTTTAATACGATTCACGTTAAACTAAAGAAGTCAAATCTCCTAATTTATTAGTTTCCTACCCTCCCACGGAGCACTTACTTTGAGTCCCCCCTTATTTCCATTCCCTAATATAAAATTACCCGTTACAATCCAGCTCATGTTCCCTTTCTCACATCAGTACACTGGCACAGTTCTTCCCTGTCCATTTACAGGACGTACCTGAAGGCAGAGGCAGCCGTTTGGTCCCTCAGTATTGCCTAACCGAGATCAGTTGTAGACTGATGCCCTACAGGGTCTATTCAGTAATTTGCACTATGGGCCATAGAACATACTCATGTACATACCCAAACTGGTTATGACCTTGGTCTATATAAATACACTATCTCACACATCCTACCGTCCTAAGGGACATATGGACCTCTGTTACAAGACCTATTAGGTTCTACGATTAGGCATGCAGCTCTAACAATACATGATGATATTTGCAGTGTTGCTTGTGGATTATGCCACATCCGCTCACTGTTTCTCTGCTACACCAAATCATGCGCTCTACCTTCCTTTTCACAGGCCATGACTTTCAGAAGTTGACTTCGACAACTGACCTTTATCTCTATTACTCATCCTTCCCCTTTACTAATCGAGTTATATTTAGTTTGGAAGTACCATTTACTATCCCCCAAAGCACGCAATACATATGGCCCTACTTCCTTCCCTGAGCACTCAAATATCCCAAGTTTTTCCGTAGCCTCCTCCAGCAGCCCAATTTGCTGTGTACCTAGCTGAACTCATTTGGGAAAGGACTGCCTACCCAGGCAGGGTCTGGTGTACCAAGCAGCATGGAGACCATCTCTGGCAAAGGTCTGTCATCACAGATATCTTCAGAGTCTCGTTACTGTGAGGTCGTGATTACATAATTGGACTACTCCCCTAACTCCCTGGTCATCCGCCTACATTAACCCTGCCATGCTCGTCACGGCTGTTCTAACAGACCTGTCCAGGTTGTCAAAATTGTTTTCTTTCCTATAAGAATGGGAAGCCACGTCCATTTCACACGGTCTGTTAATTCCCCTGTTATACAACCAATACAGCTGCCACACAAGATCTACAGCCTTTTTAGGCCACTGGTTCTGTGACCTGTAGCCCAGTTGCATCTGATCTACCGCTTTTTAGTATTCTTTGGGCTCTTACTCATCAAGTTTTGTCACTTGTACGTATGTTCTCGGTGTACATAAAACGGCTGCTAATGAAATATCCCGCTTCAAATTTCAGGAGTTTTTTCAAGCATCATCACAGAGCAAACAAACATACGACAAGGCCTCCTCATTTGAATAGATCTAATCCTGGATTAGAGGCTCTCCTAGCGCACAGTAAAACTTGTCTCAAATGGGCTTGTCAGATAACACCAGGGAAACTTACGACAGAGTGTTCAAGTTGTTTTCCAAATTTGTGGCAGACTTTCAGATTATAACAAGTTTCTATTGAATCATTGCTTGCGTTCGCTACATTTTGCCACATTTCTCTAAAACTAACACACAATACCTTCAAGGTATACAACACCATATGCTTATTACATTCCTTGTAATTTACCTAAAGAGCGTACTGTAGAAGTTAATCTTTTCTCAAAACCCACAGCGATTGCCAATTGTCAGCTCTAAATTTTGAGACATATCAAACCTACTTGACAGGGCACCTTTCGAACAACAAACAAACCTCATCACTTATAGACTTGTCAAATGCTTCTCGAGTTACATGGTAAACCGCTAACACACAAGTTCATCCTGTACCTGCGAACTCTGCTAGTTAGGTTGGGTTTAGTCCAACCTATTACTCTGGTCATTTTTCCACATAGGAGCAGCTTCATATGCTGGAAGTCTTATGGTTCCAACTCACATAACAAAGAAATGGGCCAATGGAAATCAGCCACTTATTGCAGGTGCATACCACCTCCAGAAAGGAAATTTAAATGTTTTAATAACATGACTTTGTAAGTATCGTTTCTGGTTTAATAAGTATGGCTTATCTTTTTGCCCTCTTTGTTTACAGGCCTAACCACTCGTTGGTTTCAGTACACCACTACCGACTTAAAGTATAATAATACTTATTCACGATCGGCTATGGCTTCCGACCACAAATGTAAAGAAGTTAGCCTGAAGTTGTGGCAGGAGTTGTCCAAAAATTATTTGAAAGTTTATCCAAAAATATGAAAATGACGTGACGTGCAAAATTATTTAGTTAATCCACGTCACACCACATTTGTGCAAAAAAAAAATGCAAAAATATGTGATAGATCTACACAAATGGATTAATAATATCGACTTCTCCTCGTTAAATCTTCTCATAATTGTTCTTCAAGCTTACCTTCTCTCTGAGTTTTCTTTCCTTCCTCTCCTGCACCGTGGTCAGATAATTCACAGCAGCATACTCCAACACCGACAAGAAGACAAACACGAAACTAACCCAGAGGTAAATGTCCACAGCTTTGATATATGAAACTCTTGGCATGGAGGCATTTACTCCAGTAATGATGGTGGACATGGTCAAAACTGTAGTTATACCTGGAAGAGCAAGTATTAATTTAAATAATTAAAGACAAAGAACACAAAGTGTCTCCACACCCACCACAAATGACTTCACAGCTTCACAGGTGAATGTAATGTAATTTTCTTTTACCTAATGGAACTCGTGCAGGAACTGCTCTCCGATCAATCCAGAAGGATACCCAGGATAGCATGACCATCAGTGTAGCAGGAAAATATGTTTGCAGCAGGAAGAAAAAGATGTGGCGCCGTAGAGTGAAGTTAATGTAGAGACGATTGTACCATCCTGTATTAAGAATTTACAGCAATAGTTTGAGCTTTGTACTGTTTTTTTTCAAGCACCTTCATGCCATCCTTAATTCAAAGAGGCTTTATTCACTAAACAGTGGTTTGTGGTAAATCGAAATCAACCTGCAAATTTCATGCTAGAATTTACCACTATGCGCTGATTAGTGAATAAACACTACTCATTTATTCAATCAGACCCTTGTCTGGCAATTCAACAAAAATATTTTAAATTATTGCAGAGATACATCTATTACTTTTTAAAATAATAATGTCAGATCTAGAAAAGTATATAAATATCATGCTAGCTCACAAGTTTGTTTTTTTTGCACATTGGAACGCCTAGCATTTAAAAAACAAAACAAAAAAAACTGTATTAGTGCCCAATAGTGGTTCAAAATAAGAAGCCAATGCTACATTGTAAATGGAAAAATAAAACATTTAATACCACCTTAAGCATCATAACTAATACAGCTCGTTGTACTGGTTATTGTTAGGAGTTCCAAAAAGGTCTGACAGAAGCATTTCATGGTTTCTGTCAGATCCTTTTGGAGCCAATTGCTCTCTGTTAAAATTAAGAGCGAGAGAGAGAAATAATTTTGAAAAGTACAAAAGAGTAGTACTGGTATGGCTGATATGGAATAAGCAATTTCTAGTAAAGTCAATACAATATAGGATTAAGTATAGAGAAACAAAATTGAGAAAGTGTTTTAATTAATGACTGCTCCAGGATTGCTGAGGCTTTCTAATATAACATTGAATATGATTGTAATGGTGATGGTGAGTGGCAAGTAAAAGAGAACCGCTAGTTTAGTATATTGACGATGTATCTGTAGCGTGTGATATACCTGTGCTGCTATAGAAAGCCAGTCTTGTAGTGGTATGAAACTTTTGAATAAGGAATTGGGATAATGAAATCCTTTCATCCGTTTTTAAGGAATCATTGCCATTCTTCCAGTATAGCATAAGGTCATCTTCTGTGTATGCATCTAAGGATACAAGAATAGAACGATAACAACAGCATTTTAGAAAATTATATTTAACTTATTGAGTATTTTTTACTTCAAATTACCAAAAATTATTTAAAGCTACGTTTCTGTTTTATTTACATAGTTCGCGTTGATGTTGCCGATTGCAGGCCAGATGGAATATGTTTGACTTTAGGACACCTAAAATTAACAGCATGAACTAGTTGGTCGGTTGTTAATTCCTGCCCACTGTTACTGTATGCCTAATATCTTACTGTTAAAGACTGAGCTACAAGCATTTTTTTTTATTCATTCTATTGATCTGGAATTGGTAGTTCTCAGAAACCCCTTGGTAAGACATTAGCACAAAGCTGTGTAACAATGAGTAATTACAAGGGTTCACCTAAACTGTTTTCACAAGAACAAATAGACTTTTTGATTGATTTCTTGATATTTCGATATTTTGTTTACAAAATGACAACACAAATACAAATAGAATTGAAAAGGAACATTCACTTCTTTGGAAGTGACAGTTTCCAATTCCCTCAACCCAATAAATGAGATTCATTTGTTTACTGTGATAAGGAGGAGTGCAAGTTGGTAGTATAAAAAAAACACCAGCAAGGTTTTTTTATGTTTGTTTTGGCATCTTCCTATGGTACATATTCCTATACATGCTAAGACACGATGGTTAGCTTTCGCTCGTAGGGCTGTCTATGGGTATGGGACTTCTTTGCAATCTTCGCCATCAGGGAAAAGGTTACTGTGCAAGGACAGCCATGATATACAATGTAAATAAAAAATGAATAACACAACTTATAGCTAACCTTTAGCTAGCAACAGGGTTGTCCAAAGATTCTACACGTAACAGTTGTTTTTTTTTTCTGTTTTTTTTAAATGCATTAAATAGGTTACTCCAAATGTTCTCTTCAAGCAAAGTGAATGATTTGAAATGAGAAATGGCTGTTTTTTTCTTTCTGCCATTATTTTTTGCTCTCTCAGCTTTTTGCTCCATTTTCTTCTGATGATTTTACAAAATAAGTCAAATGAGCGATATTACTGGGAAAAAAGATAAATTCAAAATTTGAAGGATTTTTGTTCCATAAACAAACAAAAAAGGATCTGCTACAAATACCCCTCTCTGGCAATGGTGGAAACGTTGTCGTAAGATGGGAGTCCCCACACACTCTGGGCGGAGGGGCTGGACCCCACGCCTCCCTCATTCCCCCCTGCTATATCCCCCCACACCCAACCTTCCCTATGTTCTGTCCCTCCCTATACTCTCACACCAGCTCACCCCTTACTCGGATGAGTGGGCTGGGATCTGACCGATAGTAGACTAAATGCTCAGCAGCTAAATTAAATACCCCAGGATGTCAGACACACCTGAAGCTCACTCAATTGAAAATTGTAATACACTACATATGTTGTTAAAGTTACCCACGCAATGTGGACAATTGTACAATTCAATGCTTGATAAGCACTGTTCGCAACGCTCACACGAACGGGACCTGCGTGTCCGACCCACGGATAGCATGATCTTGTATGTTATATACTGTTATTTTTTACACTCAATAAACAGCTTTGGAATGAAACGTTGTCGTAAAAAAAAAGTGCACTTTTTTTTTTTATACTTTGGGAGCGACACATTTGTGAACTTAACCCCTTCAGGACCGGACTGTTTTTGCGATGTTTGTACGTTAAGGACCAGAGCTATTTAAACACTTTTGTGGTGTTTGTGTTTAGGTGTAATTTTCTGTTCCGATACTGTTCCGATACAAATTATATATTGTTTTTTTCAGGACAAAAAGGGCTTTCTTTACATACTATTATTTTTATCATGTCATATAATTTAATTTTAAAAATATAATAAAATATGGTGAAAAATTAAAATAAAACATGTTTTTTGTCTTCTACTTAAAAAAATCTTTTACTGATCTACAAAATCGAATGAAACAAACTGCTAAATAGATTCAAAATTTTGTCCTGAGTTTAAAAACACCCAATGTTTACGTGTTTTTTTGCTTTTATTTGCAAGTTATAGGGCTATAAGTAGAAGTAGGAAATTTCTGTTTCAAATGTATCAATAGTGACATTGTAACGCTGCTATGTCATAAATCTCCAAAAAACACCCCACATGTATATATTTTTATTAAACTAGATAACCCAGGGTATTCATCTAAGAATATTTTGATACTTTCTATGCAGCTATTTTACCACAAACCTTTGCCAAACTTTGCATTGGTAGTTTATTTTTTTATTTTTTTTCACATACATTGCAATTCAGGTATAAATTCACAGATTCTGTTAGGTGTCACTGCCAAACAACACCCCAATATGTGTTAAGTAACATCTCCCGAGTACAGAGATACCCCCCATGTATAGGTGTGTTGGGCTGTTTGGGGACTAAAAGGCCACATTTTGCAGGTGTTCACATCAGTTTCCCAGCTTGGAATTTTGACATGTAGTCAACCTGCATACATGTCCTATTTGGGACATTTTTGAAGCCGGCCAATGTATTTTACCCCCATCACACCATATATTTTTGAAAAGTAGACACCCTAGGGTATTTCAAATGGTGGTATTTTAACACTTTCCATGCACTGATTCTACCACCAGGTTTTGTTAAACATTGAGTTAGAATTTTTTTTCTGTTTTTTTCACACACATTGTACTTTAGGCATGAATTAACAGATCATGTTATGTGTCACTGCCAAACAACACCCCAATATGTGTTCAGCAAGATCTCCTGAATACAGTGATACCACCCATGCATAGGCTTGTTGGGTTCTTTGGGGGCTAGAAGGCCACGTTTGGCAGGTGCACTTATCAGTTTCCCATCTTGGAATTTTGAAATTTAATCAACCTGCGTCCATGTCCCATTTGAGCCAATGTATTTTACCCCCATCAAACCATATATTTTTGAAAAGTAGACAACCCAGGGTATTTTAAATGGTGGTATTTTAACACTTTTCATGCACTGAATTCTACCACCAGCCTTTGTCAAACTTTTGGGTAGTAATCTTTTTTTTGTTTCTTTGTCACACACATTGTACTTTAGGCATGAATTAACAGATCCTGTTATGTGTCACTGCCAAACACTGCCCAATATGTTCAGCAACATCTCCCAAGTACAGTGATACCCACCATGTATAGGGTTGCTGGGTTGTTTGGGGGCCAAAAGGCAACAATCAGAACTTGTACATGTCAGTTTTTAAACTTGATATATAGGTATGCTTGGTCTATCTTCAGTTTGACATATTTTTGCACCCCCCAGTTAATGTTACCATCATGAAAGTATATATAGTATATATTCTTATAAAGTAGACATCAAAGGTTATAGAAGATGGGGTGTTTTGACTTCTTTCCCCCAACCATTTTGCCTCCCAAAGAAAGTGTAGTGGTAATTTTTTTATTCAGTTTTTTCTGCACACGTCATCTGGTTTTGGCCAGCTGGTTATGTGTTACTGCCAGAAAACTTGTTAGACCAAATGTGCAGGTAGCAAATGTACATTTAGAAGCAATCTTTAAACTGACTCCTGCAAATAGAATCTAACTGGAGATTTGGGGGAAGGAAACTGGCTAACAAAAAATAGCTGCTTTCCAAAGAAACAAAAAATAAAATAAATATTCAGGAACACTTCTTACAACTGTTGTGTGTGTGGTACAGCTTGAAACATGTTCCTACACACAGTCCTGGTTTTGAAGGGCAATCAGGACAGTGAAAAGGGGTGTCTGTCCTTTTCCCGTTTTTAAAACAGACCCGGCAACGTTTCTGGGGGGTTTTTTTTTCTAGCAGTTGGCGGTAACTTAAAAATAAAATGCCTGGACTCAGTTTGCACCGTTGTTGGAACTTGTCAGAAATTATTTTCAATTGAAATTGGAGAAAGGTGGTTTTCCCGGATTATTTTTTTTAAAAAAAGCAAAAATTAGTTGTGGGTTGCTATTTGCATCAGATAGATAGCCACCTTTTTATACCATGCTTTGGTTTTTCGTAAAATAAGATATGGCTGCATCAGCTGATCAGCCAAATCAACACCCCCCATGTACTTATTATACACCCTGATGCAAACCGGTTTGGATAGTCTAAAGGCAGCAGGCACGCAACCAGGCTTCTCCAATGCAATGTGGCGAGATTGCTCTCGTCACAGGTAGCATACAAGTTAGTCTGGGTAGCAATCTCCTCCCAGATGGTATCCCCTAAAAATAGTTCTACATAGTGCATTGGGGGAGAAGCCATCCACATTAACATTAATGCCTGCGTTGGCACTAAAAGGGGGGACGTTGTTCTCGGCTAACTGTGGAGGTACCCAGTTCTCCTCCACATTCGGCGTAGCAGAGGAAGCACAGCTTCCTTCTTCAGCCGGCTCACACACAGATGACATGTCGTCTTGACTAGATGTGTCAGAAAACTGACCTGGGTCAAAATCTGACACAGTGTCAGTGGCGTCAGAGTCTGACGCCAAGAAGGCATATGCCTCCTGCAAGTTATACATACGCTGCATGTTTTACACACGACTAAAACAAATTACAAACACACACATTTTTTTTTTCATTTTTTTTTTTACTAAAACAGACTAAACAGAAATCCCTAAACTAACTCCTGTCACAAAAATCTAAAGGAGATTTGGGGGAAGGAAACTGACTGACTAAGACAGACCAAGACACAGATTTTTAAAACAGATTGAATCCTTTAAGGGCAAAACAAAAAAGTACAGACAGTACAAATGCACTGCTGTAACAAATCTGGCAGGGAAGGGGTTAAAAGGTGATTTTTTAAATAAAATACTGATACTTTCTCATGGTCACTGAACACTGCTGCAACAAACTATCACGATCGCCGTCTCTCTCGCCTCACAAAACGCTACATAGGAGAGAGGGGCAGAGATCACTGTCAAAGTGAGTGTTTGTAACACCCACTTTGACAGCAGCAAATTGTGAGCGATCTTTGATCGATCACACGCCGCAATTGGCTGTTACTATCTGCCTGGGATGTCTTGCAGATAGTTACAGTGTTATACCGGCGGTGGCGATCTTTGATCGCTTCCCGCAGTCCGTTTTTCGCTATGACGGTTCAGGACCATCAGCGGTCCAAACGCACGTTTTACCGCTGACGGTCCTGAACCGTCAGCGGTCCTGAAGGGGTTAAAAAAAGAACAAAAATAATAAGAGTGCCAGGAATCCAGTCTCAAAATGTGTGACACTTTTTATACATAGCTCCCTTTAATTTTTCAGCTTTGTCACTTTTTTTTTTCTTCACAATCTCCATTCCATTCTATTTCAACGAGGCCCTGAACACACATGCACACACAGAAGATGAGAAAAAAAGAAAGGCACACACATTCCAGCAAAGCACAATACACCCCGGCGCACCAACCCACAGTCCGCCGGTCAACACACCCTCCCCCAGCCTCAGTCCAGAACAGAACAACCAACAGCAACCACGAGATCCCAACGCTGCAACACCTGCCCGGCAACACAAATATCAAACATGAACAGAAAGGTCAGGCCCAGAGTGGCCTGCCCGGCGCGCTAGCCACCCCCCACCGCACCCGCCACAGCCAAACAAATGGCCTGCTCCAGAACCAGCCCCGCACGCAGAGCCCAGAGCACACTCCGGAACCCCAGTCCCCTGCCCCACACCAACACGGACACCCCAGGGAACAGTCCGTGCACCGCCAGAGAGTGCCAGTGAAGCCCGAGTACTCCATACAAGGAATACACTCTGGTCCTACGGTCACCTGCCCTACGCCAACACGGTCGCGTCCGAGTACAGTCAGGCACCAGTCCGTGTGTAGGCAGGTGACAGTCCGTGTACAGTCACTTGTTAACTACTTTCCCACTTTTGGACTAATTTCCACGAGTGGGAGCATTATTTTCAAAAGGGTATTAATTTCTGTCTTGTTTATTTAATTTACACCATATCATTCTGTATATAACCTGATTACAGAGAGTCTGAGGTCTACCCTTTGTGCCAGTGGAAGTGATCTACATTTTGTACTTTCTAATTTTCATTTTCCATACCTAAACAATAGAAGTGACAACTTTAAGCCATGCAGTAATGTGTATATAAAGAAGACCTATTTTGTGAATGTTTTCTGAAGATACTACCTGTAAAATATAATAAATACTTACAGCTTTCAATTTCTAAAGAGCAGGATTGTGTATCAAGTGGAAACCGACTGAAGTCCATATTGCACATCGCTGTTACTGTAACCCTGCAGTAGAATAAGCATATCCTCAATACATTTACAATTATAAAACAATGCAACAAAAAAACAAAGGTTTTCATAGAATTCTTTATTTATACTACACTATGGGAAATTGTGCATTATTTGTTTGTTAGAAATCAGAAAATTTTTATATTTTAAACATTTTATGAGCCACAGTTTTATATTTTCCTTTTATCTTGTGAATGTATATTTATTAATAAAATACTCAAATGATGATATAAATTATTTCTGCTTTAACTTATGATATGAATCTGTCTTTAATACAAAAAAAACTATTCGATTAGATTAGCAAGTTGACCTAGATCTGAGGTGGACAACAGAGTGATCTCCAACTGTTCTAGATCTACAACTCTCATGCTTTACAAGGTTGGCCAATATCTGATCACACATGGTTATGTAAAATCCCCTGGAGCGGGCAGAGGCCATCTTGATGACTCGAGGTGGAAATCAGTGGAGGCCTGAAGCCTTGATTACTGTGCTCTCATATGCCCAGTTGAGCACAGCACACATTAACCTTACAAATACTCGATATTTACTCAGTTCAGGCAGAAGGTAGGCCTTATTTCTCTATTATTGCTGCAAACAGCAGGCCTCTCACCACGTGGCTGTAACAACCATAAAGGCCTCCTATTACAAGACGGAAGATATCTGGTTGCGCTTAGTAGGCAACATATATGTTTCTCAACTTTGGCAGTAGTGGCCCCATGGCTTAACAGCTACTTGTCACATATTCATCCTCACCTTGTGGTATCTGCGGTAGTAATTGTCTTCCTGACAATAACGGAAGTGCTGCTCAGCAGCCCTGCGCCAGTATACCTGACTCCTGCAACATGTTGATGGATGCCGGCCTCTGCAAATCCACGCCATATTATAGCCCAACATCCGCCCATGGTAATGACGACGTCAATGTGCATGTGACGTCACGCAAAAGACTTGCATGCACGTTCTGGGGTCAAAGGCCAGTTACAGCCAATCTGTAGGAGGCTTATTTAAACAAATTTTTCCTTTTTCTCATTGCCCTGTCATTGATTCCCTTAGATGGTTATTTGAGAGTGCGTTCCTGATCATGTGTTTCTGCTTATTGACTTTGGCTTTGTTTTGAATTCCCTGACTTCTGGTATCCTTGACTATTGGCTTTCCCTTATTGCTGTGTCCCATTCTGTGTCCCTGACCTCAGCTAGTATATTGACTTTTCTTAGGTACATTAAATCTGGCCATTCTAAGGTCTGGTTAGACATTACCCTTAGTCCTAGGTGTGACACAGTTCTGTGTGCTAGATCAACTGTAATCCTGACATTACGACATGGCCATAGATCCCACAGAATTGTGTCAGCACATAGCAACTTACGAACGAAAGCTACAGGAGAATGATCACTGTATGGATCAGTTTGCCCAGGCTTTCAGTACGCTTCTTGCTCGGTTGGCTCATTTACAGCCTGAGGTCCCTCCGATTATCTCACCTCTGCCTTATATACCTCCACCCATAGTATATAAGGCACCTACTATGTCCCTATCTCCTCCCCCGCATTTTGATGGGAGGAGGATTTCTCAATCAAATTCAGTACCACTTTAAGGCCTCACCGGGATCTTTTCCCATGGATAGAGTTAAGATTGGGTACATGATGAACCAACTTAAAGGTAAAACCTTAACTTGGGTCAATCCATTATGGGAAACTAATAGGAGTATTGCTTATAACTACCAGGAATTCCTTGCAGAATGTAAATTAACATTTGAACCATTAAGCAGGGAGAATGATGGTTCCACTGCCCTAACGTGTATCAAACAAGGGAACCGGTCTATCTCAGATTATGCCATAGAATTTTGCACCTTGGCTTCTGAGGTAGACTGGACTAATACCGGTTTGATCTCTGCATTTAAAGAAGGATTATCTAAGGCAATTCCTGATGAAATTGCTGCCAATGATCTACCTAAGAGGTTAAATGAGTGCATCACATATGTGATGCAGATTAAAAACAGACTTAGGACCAGGGAAATTACCAGAAATAGAACCAGCTATATGGCTATGTCACTGGCACCTCGTTTCTCCAAACCTATTATCCCTGACCTCTCTGTACAGTCTGAACCCGAACCTATGCAGTTAGGGGTCACTAGACTGTCAGAGGCAGAGAAACAGTATAGGAGAAAGAAGGGTCTGTGTTTATACTGCGGTAAAAAAGGACATATGAGAAGTGCTTGTCCCATACATCCGGAAAACTTCCACACCTAAGAACCTTAAGGGGACAGGTCTTAGGTGTGATGGACACGTCCTCTAGTAATAACCAAAATAGATTTTTCCTTGACATCACTGCCCTTTGCAACAAGAAAAGCTTTTCATGCAAAGCCCTGATGGACTCAGATGCAGCAGGAAACTTTATTGACATGCATTTTGTTAAAAAACACTTAATACCTATCAAGGGGAGATAATCACTTCTGGCCATTGAGGCTATTGATGGGAGAACTCTCTCTCATCCCTTGATTACCCAGGAAACCATGCCTATTAACATTTCAGGAGGTTTACATAAGGAAAACATAACATTGCAGATAATTGCTTCTCCTTCTTGTCCCATCATATTGGGATTTCCTTGGCTCATTAAGCACAATCCTCATATTGACTGAGCAAAAGGGGAAATACTGGAATGAGGTAAAGACTATACACTGAAATGGGGTAAAGAGATGTGTGTTACCCATTACCAAGAGAGTGGGCATTGTTACGTTGCCCACTACTATGCTTCAGTCCTCCAAAGTTCCCATACAGTGCTGGGAGGTTAAGGAGGTATTCAGTAAGAATCAGACTGATATTCTACCTCCTCACATATCATATGATTGCTTCAAAGATCTGCTACCTGGCGCAATGCTCCCTAAGGGGACAGTATATGCCTTATCTCCACAGGAAAGTAGAATCATGGATGAGTACATCAAAGATTCCATAAGTAAGGAAAGTCATCCTCACCTGCTGGTGCAGGGTTCTTTTTTGTATCTAAACAAGATGGAGAATTACGCCCATGCATTGATTACAGGGCATTAAACAAGATTACCATAAAAAATGCCTATCGCATTCCCCTCATCTCCAAATTGTTTGACAGACTCCAGGGTGATAAAATATTTACTAAACTTGACCTCATGAGTGAGTAAAATTTGGTAAGAATTAAGGAAGTTCATGAGTGGAAAATGGCATTTAACACTACAGTAGAAGTAGGCACTATGAGTACCTTGTCATGCCCTTCGGGTTATGCAATGCTCTGGCTACGGCTAACCACACCTGCTCTATTTTACAAAAATCACAGCTTTCATGCTGGCCTTAGTTATTGCAAACAGAAAAATCACAGCTTAAAGGCTTAAAGGCTGGCAGCCGTTTCTCTTAATAGAAAAATCATGCCACAAAACTATTTACGCACAAAAAGTTACCTTAGACTGTACAGAACTTTCCCATCTGGTTGCACCCGTAGCATAATGTTATCGGTGGTTGTATCATGAATAAAGGATCTCTTGGAATGGACAAAAAACATGTCGGGAACCCAAATTTTTTTAACCAATCGCCCATCAAAGGTCATACTTTGATTATTTGAGCTGGGAAAAGATAATCTCTCATCTTTCCAATAATGCCTGAGGTACAGAGTCATAGTAAAGTCCTGAAAAATTAAGACAAAAAAATATCAACAACAATGAATATAAATGTGCCTGATTTTTATTTACAGCGTTTTGGTATGCAATGGATAATAAAGGTTTGATAAAACATTTCAAAGATTAATAAAACCAAACATCGATAACAACTTAGCGTGTTGAAATGCTTAATGTGTGAAGAGTGCTGTGTCTGTTCATTTGACAAAAAAAATCCAAATTTCAATAGTGTGACGAAAGAGACTTCGCCACTGGGTTTTGGAGGGACTACTTGCCCGCCTTTTACCCTGTGACTATGGCCTCTGCAATAGAACTGGTTAATATACTTGAAAACAGGCTCTGTTTGGGACTATATGGTTCGTTTGCAAGTTGTTTTTAGATATATCCTAAATACAAAAATGCATAATACAATGCATGCATGTTTTCATTGGTGGTATATCTACTAAAGGTTGGTGGCAGGGGTCAAGTCCTGGGGAAAAAATTGTGGGAACTCACCCAAGATCCCCCCCCAAAACACTTGTATGCATATATAATCGAGTGCACACATACACTCACAGACACACACATACACTCAGACGTACACACATACTCAGACACTCACACAGTGGTGTATTTTATTTTGTGCTTCCCTAGGCATGACTATACCAGGCATCCCCCAAATTTAAATTTCCCACCCCTTCCTGTCAAGGGCGCACCGCTTCCTGAATAAGAGCCCACTCCTTCCTCTTTAGACTCCACATTTTCCTGCTCCTTTTAAAGAAATACTATAGTGCCAGAAAAACAAAGCTGTTTTCCTGGCACTATAATTCCCTATAGTGCCCCCCTCCCTCGTGTCCTTCCCTCCACCACTCGACACTGAAGGGGTTAAAATCCTATGGGTAGTTAGCAGATGCTGGATGTCCTCATGCACAGGGTGAGGAAGTCCAGCATCATCAATTAGGCGACTTTTGGTCACCTAACCACCCGAAAGACCTTCTAATGGCTGTCTGGTAGATACACTCATACACATACACTGACACAAACACACACATACACTAGCAGACACAGATACACTAACAGACATACACACACATACATACACACACACACTAACAGACATACATACATACATACACTAACAGACATACACACACACTGACATACACACACACACACACAAACAGACATTATACAAATTATTAATATTATTAAAATTAACATTTCCCACCCACCCAGCCTAACTACTTTTTGGGAAAACTGGCATGGATGGGTCCCTGGGGTCCAGTAGGGCTGCAGTGAGGCAGGCGGCTGTTTCCCTGTCAGATGTGGCTCGGGAGCTGTGTTCTCTCTGCTCCCTCGTGCAGGCTGTGTACTGATGCTGGGAGCCGGAATATGACGTCTTATACCGGCTCCCGGCATCAGGAAACGGCGCGCGAGGGAGCAGAGCAGAGAGAACACAGCTCCCTCGTTGCGTGTGACAGCCGCCTGCTGGGGGGGTCCATCAGGTGGCCCCCCATGACAGGGGGAACACAGGGCATTTGGGGGCAGCATTTTTTGCCGCCCCCCGGTTAGTGCCTGCAGGGGGAGAAGCATTCCCACGCATTCCTGCAGGACTCGAGCCCTGGTTAGTGGAGTGTTCATTTAACAATGGAACAGCAAGGGTACTGTAGAAGCTGAACTGGGAATGATGAAAAGTAAGTGGAAAGTTAATTTAAGGATTTATGTATTATATATTGTTTTTAAAGGACAGAAGGGTCTTTCTTTTAGCATTAGGTATGTATACCTAGCTATATAGTGGTTTGTTTAATATAATGATTTAATATGAGATATTTTAAATTTAATTCTGTTATGCTTATACACTAAAATGAGAATTTAAGGTAAATTCAAACTAAATTGCAAATTTAAGGTCAAAATAGCCAAACTGGGAATATGCTCTAAGTCTGCCATGCTTTTCATTCATCTACTCTGAGCTTAAGTTTGAAATTCACTGTAATAAATAACTTTGTATATACCAAATAGGGCATTGTTTATTATATGTATCCTTATTCAATCTAAAATCTATAAATCTAAGGCAATATACCTCAAAACAGAATGCACCTGTCATGGTTGACTATATTTATTACCTGTTATGTGTAAAATGTATATATGTGTGTATGTGTATATACATTGCTCAAAAAAATAAAGGGAACACAAAAATAACACATCCTAGAACTGAATGAATTAAATATTCTTCTGAAATACTTTGTTCTTTACATAGATGAATGTGCTGACAACAAAATCACACAAAAATAAACAAATGGAAATCACATTTTTCAACCCATGGTGGTCTGGATTTGGAGTTAAACTCAAAATTAAAGTGGAAAAACACACTACAGGCTGATCCAACTTTTATGTAATGTCCTTAAAACAAGTCAAAATGAGGCTCAGTAGTGTGTGTGGCCTCCACGTGCCTGTATGACCTCCCTTCAACGCCTGTGTATGCTCCTGATGAGGTGGTGGATGGTCTCCTGAGGCATCTCCTCCCAGACCTGGACTAAAGACTCCAGGCAATTTGACCTCTTCAAATCAATGCTTGGAGTAACCCTTTAAGGATCAGTCAACAGTTAAAAATAAATACATTTGACTAACTTAAAGGTGCTCCTTTAATGGAAATCAGAATGTATTAGGAAAATAATATTTGCAGAACCAATGTTTTAGAAATTATTTCTGAACCTAAAATGTCTGATAACAGTTTCCTCAGTTACATTTAATATGACTATTTATTAACATTTGGCTATTGTTCTTGACACTGGTTTGAACATTATATTAGATTTCTTCTATTAGAGTACAGGAATTTCTCACTTTATGAACTCCCGCCTTTATGAAATTTTTTCTGGATGTGCCGCCATTTTGTTTCACCGCCATTTTGTGTCAGTGGTCCACGGATAAGGACTGAGAAGAGTGCTTTGGAGCACAAAAAGGAAGAGAAGAAGTATTTGTGGTCAGGAGTAGACAAGAAGAGAGATGAGGATCAGGAACACAGTTCCCGAAGACAAAGGGAAGTCTAAAAAACAGGTTTAGATTGTACTGTATTCTTTTTGTGCTTTCATGGGCATACATTACAGATCCTGTAATATTATTGCACTGTGTGCTATTGAGTATAGATTTGACCTGATTTGTCTGTGTGTATCTGACATAGCTGTCTGTGTGTATGTGTATTTGCCATTGTGCCATGTTTTGGGAGGCAGCAATAGTAAGGAGCAGGAGGAGGGCTAAAAAGCCTGAAAAGGGTGGAGAGGGAAACAAGTTTGAGAGCTGTAAAAAGAAAAGAAGTAGCAGAAAAGTTCTAAAAAAGAGATGCAAGCTTGAAAGTAAGAGAGGAGAAGGAGGGGAGTTTGAGAGCTGTAAAAAGAAAAGGAGTAAAAGAAAAGTGATAAAGTAGAGGGGGAAGCTGATAATGAAGAAAATGAATAAGTATGAGGGTTTAAGAGAGGTGCCCCCATTTAACAAGTGCAGCATGTCTCTTCATTGAATAGTATGAGGATTTATGATATGGTATGCATGCCTTTAAAATTCCTACAACATACATGTATTTGCTATGCTTTCATTTTGTATTTGTACTTAATAATTTAGGTTTTCAATGGTAAAATTTATTGGTCAGGAACGGAACCCGTGTTTATTGCATTGTGTCTATGGGAAATTAGTTCTCACTTTATGAACTCTCACTTTATGAACTAGGCTTCGGAACCAAACAGTTTGTAAAGTCGGGAACTACCTGTATTTAAATAGTAAACACATCTTTTAATGGTTTAGTATTTTATCATAACAGAGAACATAAGTGTTTGTTTCACATCAGGGTCTTTTGAAACATTTGGTGGTATTTTGATATTGATTACGTAAGTTATTTCAGTACTTTCTGGGACCCCTTCTATTTTACATGTTTATAAATGATCTTGATAAAAGCATTGAAAGTCATGTTTCAGTGTTTGCAGATGACACAAAACTCTGTAAAATAATACAATGTGAGCAAGATTTTACTTTGCTGCAGATGGATTTAGATAGACTGGGTACTGGGAACTCAAATGGCAGATGAAATTTAATGTAGAAAAATCCAAAGTTACGCAGTTTGGCATAAAGAATACACAAGCAACTTATACCCTAAATGGACATGAATTAGGGATAACTACACACGAGAAGGATTTGGGAATTGTTATAGATAACAAACTATGCAACAATGTGCAATATCAATCAGCAGTGGCTAAGGCCAGTAAGGTATTGTCATGCATGAAAAAGGGCATTCATTCTCAGGATGAGAATATCATTTTGTCTCTTTATAAATCATTGGTAAAGTAGAAAAACGTTGCCTCAGAGGGGATATGATAACATTATACAAATATATCCGGGGCCAATACAAACCATTGTGTAAAAATCTATTCACAAACAGGATTATACATAGGATACAAAGTCATGCTTTTAAACTGGAAGAATAGAAGATTTAGTCTAAGGCAAAGGAAAGGGTTTTTTTTTACCGTGAGAACAATAAGGATTTGGAATTCCTGCCTGAAAAAGTAGTTTTATCAGAATCTATACAGATGTTTAAACAGCAACTAGATGCATACTTGGAAAAACATAATATTCAATTATATACTTTTTCAACTGTAGGGTAATAGCTACTTGATCCAAGGATTTTTTTTTGCCTTCTTTGGATCAACAGCAAAAACCAGATGTGAGGAAGGCTGAACTTGATGGACACATTTCTCTTTTCAGCCTATGTAACTATGTAACTATCTAACTACTTTCTGATTTCTATTACTCTTTCTTGACAAAGACTTTCAACGCAATTGTGTTGTAAATGTGTTGGTTGGTCATTACTTACCATATCAACCTCTGAAATACTATCTAAGCTTTCAACTTGCACATCCACCCCAACAGGAATTGCTGGACCTTAATGATAGAAAACAACAAAATATAAGTCGATATACAATTTTATCACTTTATTTTAAATATGTGCATTTGCAATAATTAAAATGTAACTATTTTAAAGAAAGGTGGAAGATCATTACAAAATTACATTTAAAAATAAGTTGGTTCATTTAATTAGATAACTCTGCTTCAAATAAATTACTGTTTAGTAATAAAGTGACCATTTTTTAGGAATATAGATCATTCTTTGTTATGTCAATATTTTTTTTAAAAACACTTAACTTGTTTGCAAGTGACTATGGTCATATACATATTAACACTTACATGGTTATAAATACAGGATAAAATGAAATGGACAGCATTATAATAAGAGTTGAGCACTTTGATAATGCACTTAAAGCATTGCTTGTGTGTTTATAAAAATATAATGAAAATAATGCTGTTTCTGCCAATAAACTTAAAGGGACAGAATAGACACCCAGACTACCATATCTCAATGATCTGTTCCTGTAGTTTGAAGACTTCAGGGTTTAAATTCCTCTACTACAGGCCCTTCTGTCCAAATAGCTCAAATAAATCATCATAGTGTTCCTTTAATTACTAATGGAAATCACATGGGTAGGTAGGGAATGATTTGAAATACTGGTTTCTTTTATTGCTAATACATTTCTTTCAGCACGAGCTACAGCCAGAACAGAGAGAAATTACAGTGAAAGGGTCAATATAACCAGAGTCAGCGCTGTATCTCTCCCCACTATTGTTAAATATAACCAGCAGCAGTGTCAAGAATCTGTGACAGGTGGTCATTTTTACCCTCTAAAAACCAGGAAACTAGATGTTATGAGTCTTTAGCATCTCCCATTAAAGGAATACTGTAAGTACTATAATCTTGATCTTATTGAATTGGTTATAGTGCCTGGAGTCCTCTAAAACTATACTTCTATTCAGTGTTAAACCATTTTTGAGCAGTTTAAGATTAAATAAAATTTATGGTCACTTATAGCCCAGCCAAAATAAAAATTGTGCTTAAATACTTTGTTAAATAAAAAATGTAAGCGATCAAATATATGTAATAGAATGCAGTAAACAAGTGGGCCTTACTAGCAAGCAGACTGATTTGTGCCCCTAGTGCTACTGCGGCTGGTACCAATAAATTGTGGATATTCCTGGTGCGAATGATTCCCTATCTCAGTCGCGTGTTACACCTCCAGAGAGGGCTTTAGTGCAGCAGGGGACACCTCACTTAAATCGCTCCATAATCGGTCTGCCCAAATCGAGGCATTACACTCAAGCCCCACCTCCTCATAAGCTCCGCACCCACACTCAGGCTGCTGACGAAGGAGGAGGACAGAACATGGAAACCACCTGCCAGTCTTCCACAGCCTTCTTTGACAGGTAAGCTTCAGCCCATGACAATTATTGTGTGTGCCTGATAGTGAGTGAGCCTGTATGTGTGTGTGTGTCAGTGAGGTTGTCTGTGTGTGTGTGTGCCTCATAGTGAGTGAGCTTGTGTGTGTGTTAGTGAGCTTGTCTGTGTATGTGTGAGTGAGTTTGTAGTGACCATGTGTGTGTCAATGAGCTTGTCTGTAGTGAGCATGTGTATGTGTGTCAGTGAGCTTGTGTGTGTGTGTGTGTTTGTCAGTGAGCTTACGTGTAACCGAGCTTGTGTGTGTCAGCTAGATTTTCTGTAGTGAGCATGTGTGTGTCAGTGAGCGTGTCTATAGTGAGCATGTGTATATGTGTCAGTGAGCTTGTCTGTAATAGAGCTTGTGTGCCGTTGAGCTTTTCTGTAGTGAGTATTTGTGTGTCAGTGAGCTTGTCTGTAGTGAGCATGTATGTGACAATGAACTTGTCTTTAGGGAACTTGTGTGTGTGTCAGTGAGTTTGTAGTGAGCATGTGTGGGTCAGTGAGCTTGTCTGTAGTGAGCATGTGTATGTGTGTCAGTGAGCTTGTGTGTGTGTGTGAGTGTGTGTGTCTGTTGTGAGCTTGCGTGTATGTCAGTGAGTTTGTCTGTAGTGAACATGTATGAGTGAGTGAGTTTGCCTGTAAGGAGCATGTGTATGTGTGTCAATTAACTTGTGTGTATGTCAGTGAGCTTGTCTGTAGTGAGCTTGTGTGTGTCTGTGAGTTTGTGTCTAATAAGCATGTGTGTCAGTGAGCTTTTCTGCAGTGAGCATGTGTATGTGTGTCAGTGAGCTTTTCTGTAGGGAGCATGTATGTGTTAGTGAGCTTATGTTTAAGTGAGCTTGTGTGTGTCAGCAAGCTATTCTGCAGTAAGCATGTGTGTCAGCAAGCTTTTCTGTAGTGAGCACATGTGTGTGTCAGTGAGTTTGTAGTGACCATGTGTGTATCAGTGAGCTTGTCTGTAGTGAACATTGTCTGTAGTGAGCAAGTGTATGTGTGTCAGGGAGCTTGTCTGTAGTGATCATGTGTGTGTCAGTGAGCTTGTCTGTAGTGATCATGTGTGTGTGTCAGTGAGCTTGTCTGTAGTAAGCATGTGTGTGACTGTAAACTTGTCTGTAGTAAGCATGTGTATGTCAGTGAGCTTGTCTTTAATGAACATGTGTGTGCAACAGTAAACTTGTCTGTAGTAAGTTTGTGTTTGTATACCAATGAGTTTGTCTGTAGTAATCTTGTGTGAGTGTCAGAGTTTGTACTAAGTTTGTGTGTGTGTGTGTGTCAGCGAGATTGTCTGTTATTGAACCTATTTGTGTGTATCAGTGAGTTTATGTTTTATGTCAATGATCTTATGTGAATCAATGTGATTGTTTGTCTGCGAGCCTTTGTATCGATGAGCTTTTGTACTTGTGTCAGTGAGATTGTCTGTGTCTGCATGTGAGTATGCTTACTGTGTAATTAATTTTTTTACACTGACAGAACCAATATTTTGAATTTGAAAAAAAAACACCAATAATATATACACACACACACACTACATGGCACAATGACTTATGGGGCTGGCATACATTTTTTCCATAGCTGCTTTGTATCCCTAGTCCAGCCCTGCAAAAAGAGGCAGAGCATGGATGACATTACAATTATGCCACCCCCCCTGGAAAAATTCCTGCGGACACCCATGGCTTCACCCCTTTTGGACCAGTGAGGATTATACCGGTCCACACTGGGGCTTATAGAATTGGAGGGGGAGATGTCCTTGACAAGTGCCTTGAGGCCCACTAGGAGCACCCAAGCTGAACACTGCATTGGAGCTTCAGCCCAGCCGATCGGACCTCAGGAGCCAGGGGTGGAGGGGGTCATTTGACGCTTATTTTAATGCCAGTATGCCAGGAGTTCTGATGTCTTTAGGGGTAACTATGAAGGGATGTGGGGTGACTATTTATAGGGTGACTGTAAAGGCGCTCGGGGGATGACTATAAGAGGGCTGTGGGGTTACTGTGAAGGGTACTGCGTGGGCAGGCTGTATTTCTGTGTCTAGCCTCCTCACACATGGTATAAAAAAAAACATGGTGGTTCAGTGGGCTATGCTGCATGTCTATAGATCTGGCTAAGTGCAGACTCCTCTGAATGCACCCTTTTGGTGGCCTGAAGGGATCATTAGCAGCGCTATGTACCCAACAGACCTGAACAATGAACAGTGCAGGGCTAGGCAGGTAAATGTGTGGATTTACCACTGCCTCATGCAGCTGCAGGTGTGCTCATCAGAGCAATTGCTATAACGATAGCCCTGTCTCTGATGTCTGGGTAGCAATTGTAAATGAAAGTTGACTGCAATAAATTAACTTCTTTTGCAATTGTTGAAATTGTATATACACATATAAAACATGACCTGGGAATTGTGTATACACCAGTCCCATCTTGAACATGTTAACTCTATAGCCACCATTTTCTGACCAGGTGGGTTCTGCTCATTTAACCCTATGTTCTCTAACTGACATAGTGACGTAGTACCCATTTAATACACAAAGCTGCATGCAATTCAGAGATACCCATACAATACTTAGTGCTAGGTATAAAACAGAAATATTCATAGAATAGGTAGACACATTACAGAGATACCCATTCTCTACACAGAGCCAGGTACAACACAGAGATACCTATAGAATACAAAGAGCTGAGTGCATTAAAGACTTGCAGATTTGTTTTGGTCCAAACTGCATTTCATCTAAAATGGGGTCGATCGGGTAATCAGTCAAATCCTGGGCTCCAAGCTGAAATGAACCCGAATCACAGGCCAACTGAAACACACATTTGTTGAGAATGTTCGTTTCAGATCATGATTCTGAATTCAGTCTGTGCACCAAAAAATTAATAAAAAGTGATAGAAAAAAAAGGCGATGGATGGCTAGGACAGTCATTAAAAATGTATTTTAGTTGCGGCTCAAGTCAGAAGTGAACAATAGATGGAAACAATCTATATTTATATATTTAATACACATATTTTACATCAATATAGATTTTATCCTCCTGCTCCTGTTTTTCCTTCTATTGGTTATATTTTCTCACTTGATGTATGATCTAAATAGCAGTTCTTAGAAAATGATTGAAAATGCTCCTATCAGTTTAATGCAAAATATATACATAATACAATATTATATATATTTATAATACACTGATTGGCCCATTTTCCTTCCCTTTTATTGTGTCTAATTCAGTTGCCAAGTTGGGTTTTCGGTACCGAAATTCTACCAAGCCAAACCGAGTTTTGGGTGAAATTCTATTTTGTTCTATTTCGAAAAATGGATCAGTTGAGTCAAATCTTCTCGCTGTGCACAATTCTAATACCCGTACTATATATAGAGTTGGGTACAATACAGAGGTAGCCACTCAATAGTCAGAGCCAGAGGAAGCTTGTGCATAATAGGATATTAAGCAATGCACCTCCACCCCCATTTTTTTATTGCAAAAATAAATAAATATAAATCTAATATATTGGCATGGTAAGGACTAATGATAAGTGTGTGTCAGAAAAATAACAACATTTGAAATGTGTCATGATTATCCCTGAAATGTCCATAACATCTTTTACTGAAGTCTGGAGATACTGCTAAGATGCTCAGAAATTAATAGTGTGAGGATTTTGTGACATTTTTTAAAAGAAAAAAGCAACAACTATTTCTGGGTATAGGACCCTCAGACATGCTCAATTTTCTGACATCAGCCATTGGCTTTGAGTTTGGATGTCAAATTATTGAATACACCATAAGACAGGATTAAGCATTGTCCTGTCAATAGGTGAAGTTGGACCTCTTTAAATGGTTGTTGATTCCCAAATACATAACTATATATTTATGATGTTATACAGGCCATGATGTCTCAGTGTGCCAGAGGTTTAGTACATGGGGTTAAAGGACCACCATAGTGCCAGGAAAACATACTCATTTTCCTGGCACTATAGTGCCCTGAGGGTGCCCCACCCTCAGGGACCCCCTCCCGCCCGGCTCTGGAAGGGGGAAAGGGGTAAAAACGTACCTTTTTCCAGCGCTGAGCGGGGAGCTCTCCTCCTCCGATCCTCCTCTTCTCCTCCCCGTCGGCTGAATGCACATGCGCGGCAAGAGCTGCGCGCGCATTCAGCCGGTCACATAGGAAAGCATTCATAATGCTTTCCTATGGACGCTGGCGTGCTCTCACTGTGAAAATCACAGTGAGATGCACGCAAGCGCCTCTAGTGGCTGTCAATGAGACAGCCACTAGAGGAAATAGGGGAAGGCTTAACCCATTCATAAACATAGCAGTTTCTCTGAAACTGCTATGTTTAGAAAAAAAAATGGGTTAACCCTAGCTGGACCAGGCACTCAGACCACTTCATTAAGCTGAAGTGGTCTGGGTGCCTAGAGTGGTCCTTTAAGTGGCCAGGGCTCAAAGCCCAACAAGTCGAGAGGGCAGTGTCCCACAATCTTTAAACAATAGTAGCTTCTACTGGAAGTAAGTTTGCTTACTTACATGCAGAATTGCAAACAGACATTAACCCAGGGATTGTGGGAATAAAGCAAGAAAATACATTTTCATGCATGCACTACCCCCCAGCTCTGATTATATCCTCTAAATGTTTTTAAAATAATGAAAGTATCAGTGATTCCTCTATCTGAGCCAGATTATAATTCCCATACTATATGTTTGTGTTTGGCATTGTGTGGATTAGCCAGTTGTTTGGTACAGAATGCCTCAAAGAATAACACTAACAGTAGCTTGGATTTGAATGACCATCTGTCAGCCAAGAAATGTAAGATGAATCACAATTTCTAATCCTGCAGGTCAGAAGAAAAGCATGTTCTATAATCTGTTGTTTTAACCATTTGAGCACTAAACATTTGAGCAATTCATTCAATTTATTGGAATTTAAGGGATAAAAAGGTTAAAATTTTAATGAAAAGTTTTTTTTATTTAGTAAGAAATTCTGTATCTGCATGTTTGTGTCTCTTGGCTCATAAACAAGGACAGTATGCTGGTTAGATACTAGAGTACATATGTTTTCAACTTGTAATATTGAGTTACAGTGTTACTAACAGAACAAATGACCCCCGAGACATACATTCATGCAACAGTAAAAGATGCATTAGTATGGCAAGGTTTACAAAAAAAAAATCTGGTATTATCATCATGATCTGCGTCATCTGAAATATGTGGTGGGCGATAGACTAAGCTTTCACTGGCACTAAGAGGGAGCTTTGAGTCACAGAGCTCTGGCTGCTGTCCAAATCACTCTGGCGTCAGCAGAGGTTGGTTCTGATGGATTTACTATCCAGGCAGAAATAACGGCTCTCTAGTTTATTGTCACTTTAAATGTGTATATATTCATATTCAACTCTAATTTTACAAAGGATATCAAATATCTTCAGGACACCAAAATATCTTCTCCAGGAGGAAATTACCCATTCCTGACAAGTGGTTGCAGAAATGCACACCATTATTATTATTATTACTGTTATTTATAAAGCGCCAACAGATTCCGCAGCGCTCAGTGAAGCACATACAATATACACAGACAAATACAAGAGGTAGAAAGAGCCATGCCCATAAGCTGATAACTAGCCATTGGAGGTATTTTATACAAAGTACTTAGCTAGATAGCCCGTGAGCTTACAATCTAAAGGATAAAATGGGGATTTGAGACAAGAGGTAGCAGGGGAAATTTGGAGGTGATGGCTAAAAAAGACTTAACAAAGAGAAGCAGCTATTGGTAAAATATAAAGGGAATGGAGAGGTAATTGAGGGAGGATCTCAAACAGCTGGAGGAGCATGCTATATATTTAGAGGGAACCTGGGTTAATGGGTGGGAAGTGGTGAGGGTTGGTGGATTTGCTGCAGGATGTTAAATGCAGAGCTCCTATGAGTATGAGTGTGAGATGAGTAACTAAAAAAGAAAAAAGGAGAGCCTAGATATAAATATGGGTAGAAACAAAATGGGGGGTAACCCCTAAATGGTGAATTTATATGAATACAAAAATGAAAAGAAAAAACTACCATAAAGTGTCTCAACATTTTGGTAAATATAGTCACAATGAAATGGGCATAAAAAATAACTTTTAATGGATATATTAAAATGTAAAATAGAAAAGATAAAAGCAAAACAAAAAGCACAAGGCTAAAAAATAATATGTCCTATAAACTAGTAGGGGTATTAAACCTCCAATAGAATCAATAGCAAGAGAAGTGTTGCTTCAAAGAAATACTTATTTGTGTAAAGTAAAACTACTTGCTATGAACAATGTAACTGAATTCTAAATAGAGAAGTGGGATACTAGTATCTTCAAAACTCTTCCTGCAGAACAGGGTAGGTTGAATATAGATGAAATACCTCTAGTGCACAAGGGGTTAAACAGCACAACAGTTGGTTGCAATGGTTAATGGAAAAGAGGCAGGGAATACCTGTAAAATAAAGAGGTATAGGAGCAGGGCCGGTGCAAAGATTTTTGGGTACATAGGCGAAGATGTATCTTTCCACCCCCCCCAAAATAACATCTTCACTTATGTGCCTCTTAACCAGCCCCTCTCCCCGTCCATTAGTGGTCCCCTCCCTTCCCTGTCCCTTAGTGTTCTTCTAAGCTCTCCCCTCTTTTTCCTGTCCCTTGGTGTTTCTCTCCCCTCCCCTCCCTGTCCCTTGGTGCACCCCCCACCCCTTTAGTGGTCGCACTCCCCTTCCTGGTGTGCCTCCTACCTCTCTTGTAGCGTTGCCGAGTGGAGGATATCCCCTACAGGAGCTTCAATTTTCTGTACCTGGCCAGACTGACAGGGAGTGCTCTCTCAGTGAGCACCTCCGGTCAGTCTGGTCGGGTACAGGAAACAGAAGCTCCTGTACTGCGCTCCGCCACGCTACACTTAGTGGTGTATACACACTGACAGTCACACACACTCAATGACAAACACACAGACTCACTGATCTGACACACACTCATTCATTGACAGACACACTGATACTCACACACAGACTCAATGACAAAGATACTCTCACTGATTTGACAGACACTCACAAACACACACTGACAGACACACATACACTGCCACACTCATACACTCACATGCAGTACTCATACAAGCACTCACAGACACACACACACACACTCATACAATCACTCACAGACACACACATACACTCACAGACACACACATACACTCACAGACACACACACTCATGCACACAGTCACTCAGGCACACATACACTCACACACAGACACACACAGACACTCACACACAGACACACATTCAATCACAGACAGTCACTCACAGACACACAGTCACACATACACACACTCACTAATTATTTTAATAAATAAACATTTTCCACCCAGCCTCCCTACCTGGAGAGCTGGTGTGGATGATGAATCATTCCCTGGGGTCCAGTGGGGCTACTGGGAAGCGTGCGGCAGTGCTGTGATCAGACGCGGCGAGGGAGCTCTAACCTCTCTGCTCTGCTCCCTCGCGGCTGCCTTCTGATACCGCGGGAGCCGGGTTGATGACGTCATATTCCGGCTCCCGCGGTATCAGCAGACAGCGCGTGAGGGAGCAGAGCAGAGAGGTTAGAGCTCCCTCGCCGCGTCTGATCACAGCACTGCCGCACCGGGGGTCGAGATGGTGGCCTGGCAGGAGGGAGAGCTTCCCTCCTGCCGGTCACTGAAATATTGCGCCCCCGGAGCCGGTGCGCCCTAAGGCGGCCGCCTGTGCCGCCTTATGGACGCGCCGGCCCTGTATAGGAGACAGTAGCAAGCTAGGTTAGATATAATGGTCAGTAGAAATATAGAGACTATAGGTAATCCTGACGCTTGCTAGCAAGAGAGGTTTAAATACAAAGAGATACTTTAATAGTAAAAAGTTAAGCCACTTTCTATAAACAATGTCACTGAATTCAAGATGGGAGGGTGGGGTATTAGTATCCTCTAAACTCCTCCTGCAAAACAGGGTCTGTTGTATATAGATAAAGTACCTCTAATACACAAGAGGTTAAACAGTACACCAATATGGTTGCAATAGTTAACCCCTTAAGGACTGGACTGTTTTTGCGATGTTGTACATTTGCGACCAGGCATATTTTCACACTTTTGTGGTGTTTGTGTTTGGCTGGAATTTTCCGCTCTCTCATTTACTGTTCCCATACAAATTATATATTGTTTTTTTCAGGACAAAATGGGGCTTTCTTTACATACCATTATTTATATAATCTCATGTATTTTAATTTTAAAAAAAATAAAAAAATATGATGAAAAATTGAAAAAAATACATGTTTTTTGACTTTTACTTGAAAAATCTTTTACTCATCTACAAAAGCGAATGAAAAAAACTGCTAAATAGATTCAAAATTTTGTCCTGAGTTTAAAAATACCTAGTGTTTACGTGCTTTTTTGCTTTTTTTTGCATGTTATAGGGCTATAGGTACAAGTAGGATATTGCGGTTTCAAAACATACATTTTTAAAATTTATCAATAGTGACATTGTAACACTATTATCTGTCATAAATCTCTGAATAACACCCCACATGTACATATTTTTTTTAAAGTAGACAACCCAGGGTATTCAATATGGGGTATGTCCAGTCTTTTTTAGTAGCCACTTAGTCGAAAACACTGGCCAAAGTAAGCATTCATATTTGTTTGTGTGTGAAAAAAGTAAAAAAACTAAATTGAACGCTAATTTTGGCCAGTGTTTGTGACCAAGTGGTTACTAAAAAAGACTGGACATACCCCATTTGCAATACCTTGGGTTGTCTTCTTTTGCAAATGGTATGCCATCATGGGGTAATTCTCATTCCTGGGCTACCATACGCTCTCAAAGGCAACGTAACCAACCTGGCCATTTTCAATGTAAAAATATTTGACCCATATATTTGACCTTGTAACTTTCAAAAATGCTATAAAACCTGTACATGGGGGGTACTGTTTTACTCAGGAGACATCGCTGAACACAAATATTAGTATTTAAAAACTGGAAAACGTATCACAACAATTATATCATCAGTAAAAGTGCTGTTTGTGTGTGAAAAATGCAAAAAAAGTAACTTTCACTGACAATATCATCGCTGTGATATGTTTTACTGTTTTGAATCACTAATATTTGTGTTCAGCGAAGTCTCCGGAGTAAAACAGTACCCCCCATGTACAGGTTTTAGGGTGTCGTAGAACGTTACAGGGTAAAATACAGTGCTAGCAAATTCAATTCTCTGGAATTTCGGCCTGGGCTGGCAGGCAGGTCCCTCAAATTGCAATCAATAAAATTACTGAATTATGTAAAAATATTACATAAATACGCACGTAGAATTTAAATATATATGCATATTTATATATTTGAAGTCTATGTGTATATTTATATAATTATTTATGTAATTTTGTATATGGACGTATGTATATTTCTTATTATTTTTATTTATTTTATATACATAGATATATATATACAAATTCATTCTAAGTGTATTTTGATATAAATATATATATATTAATTTTAAAATACAGTTAGAATAAAATTTCATATAGCTATATAATTTTTAAAAAAAAATTTATTATTATATAAAAAAAATTTATTTAATTTAAATTACTTATTATTTATATTTTATAATAATATATATATACAATATATATAGTTATTATATATATTATATATATACGTGTATAATTTAATTATAAGTGTATTTTTATATTAATATAAGTACATATTAATATAAAAATACACTTAGTATGGCATTATATAGATGATATATAGACATATATTATATAGATATATTATATGTCTATATATCATATATGTATACACATATATAATTTTTTTTTTTTTATTATCACTAACTTTATTTTTAAATAATGGGGGTTTAGTTACATTATATGATCATACAGTGCATAAGCCTGCCACAACGTCAATGTACCCCATCTTTGGCTATAATTATATATTATATAATATATAAATAATAATTATATAAATAGATAATTATATAAATAGATGGGGTTATATTATAACCCCATCTATTTATATAATTATTTATGTAATTTTGTATATGGACATATGTATATTTCTTATTATTTTTATATACATAGATATATATACAAATTCATTCTAAGTGTATTTTGATATAAATATATATATATTAATTTTAAAATACAGTTAGAATAAAATTTCATATAGCTATATAATTTTTTTAAATTTTTTATTATATTAAAAAATTTTTTATTTAATTTAAATTACTTATTATTTATATTTTATAATAATATATATATATACAATATATATAGTTATTATATATATTATATATACGTGTGTAATTTAATTATAAGTGTATTTTTATATTAATATAAGTACATATTAATATAAAAATACACTTAGTATGGCATTATACATATATTATATTGATATAATATATGTCTATATATCATATATGTATACACATATATAATTATTTTTTTTTCTTAACACCAACTTTATTTTTTTAAATGATTTTACACTAGCAGGGAGACTGCAGGCAGACACATGGACACCTATTGTGACCATGTGATCGCTGTGTTGAGCGATCACATGGCCACAGGGGTCCTAATTCAGTGTGGGGAGACTGTCTGGGCTGCAGGCAGTCTCCCCACAACCGGAGCAACGCTGATCGCTGCCGGGGGAACGACGGCGATCAGGTAAGTAACGGAGACCATTAGGACAGTTCAGGACCGTCATCGGTCGACAACGCAAAAATGCCGATGACGGTCCTGAACCGTCCTCGGTCGCGAAGGGGTTAATGAAGAAGAGGCAGAGAATACCTGTAAATAGGGAGGTATAGGAGGCAGTAGCAAGCTAGGATTAGATGCAATGATAAATAGAGATGTAGAAAATATAGATAATCCTGATGCTTGTAAGATAGAAGATCTAAGTGCCTTCGAGGGCACCCCTTAATAAATGCTTATACTATATAGCACAACCTCCCAAAAAAGGTCTAAATACAGAGAGATAATTAAATAGTAAAAAGTGAAGCCACTTGCTATAAACAATGTTCAAGATAGGAGGGTGGAGTATTGGTGTCCTCTGAACTCCTCCTGCAGGACACGGTCTGCTGTATATAGATAAAGTATCTCTAATACACAGGAGGTTAAACAGCATACCAATGTGGTTGCAATAGTTAATAGAAAAGAGGCAGAGAATACCTGTAAATAGGGAGGTATAGGAGGCAGTAACAAGCTAGGATTAGATGCAATGATAAATAGAGATGTAGGAAATATAGGTAATCCTGACGCTTGTAAGATAGAAAAACTAAGTGCCTTCAAGGGCACCCCTTAATAAATGCCTATACTATACAACTCAACCCCCCAAAAAGGAATAAAGAGACAGAGGATAGGAAAAGTAAAAAGAATGCCTAGTTGTAAAAGCAAGACCGCGGCTGAGGGTTGTTGGATTTGCTGCAGGATGTTAAATGCAGAGCTTCACTGAGTATGAGAGTGCCATCATGAAAGTGTTAAAATAAACTGACAACATAAAAGGTGGATCTTTGTAGTTTTATTCCATCAACAGCTAGAGAGCTACCACTTGACTTCTATACCTCAAATCCAATGCTTGTCATAGTTAGTATGTCTCAAGGTGTTAAGCATGACATATAAAACATCAACTAAACTGTGTTATTTTTTTTAATTTTTAATTTGTAATTGATACCAATTGCATAGTGAGTTATAGTGTAATACCGCAAAATCATAATTATAAAAGAAGGGAAGATTAAATGAAGGCAAAGCTATCTGACACAGGCTTAAAATTATTAATAAAAGTACTACAGTAACCACGAGAACAAGTTTTATCTAAGATTGCATCTTTTGTTAATACACATTTAGTAAATATAATTGCTAGATATACAACACTATGAACAATTTATTGATTAAGCATTTCCCATTGGAAATGTAATTCCAAAGTAATAATGCTGATAAACGAATAGCTATTTGGGTTTGAAATGTACATCTCCTTCTCCCCTTTCACTTTCCTCTCTTATTGTCTCTACTTCTTTCCTTATTTGTTCTATACTTCCCTGTTCGTTTACGGCTTCATTTTAACTACTGATTTTTTTTTTTTTTGTATATATGTCCAATTCTTAAATAAGATATGCCTTGGCTTCTACCTAGGCAACACCAAGACTGGTTACGTACTCTTTCACCTTACTATTATGCAAATGTTTGTATTTTAAGATGACATGATGTGCCTCTGTGTTAGCTGCATTTATTCCATTAGCTTTTTATTGCTGACTATATTATCTTTTTATATTTAAAGTCTGTGATAGTTTGTGTTACCGTACTTGTGATCTTTTTCTGTATCTTCCTGCCTTTTTCAATAAAAAAAAAAATGCATAACAACTTGCATAATTTATCATGAGACAAAAAGTGAAACATCCCTTATAATGTTAATCAAAAAATTATTTTCTAATGTGAAGAGCTTCCGGGTGCCTTGCACTCATTTTTATCAAGACAGTCACTGACACCGAGGCAAACACCCACACATACAAAGACAGGCAGACAGCCACACACACAGACAGACAGTCACACACAGGCAGACAGTCACGCACACACAGGCAGACAGTCACACACGCACACACAGGCAGACAGTCACACACACACACACACAGGCAGACAGTCACACACACACAGTCACACACAGACAGTCACACAGTCACACAGTCACACACTCACACAGACAGTCACACACTCACAGACAGTCACACACTCACAGACAGTCACATACTCACACAGACAGTCACACACTCACACAGACAGTCACACACTCACAGGCAGTCACTCACAGGCAGTCACACACACACAGTCACACACACACAGTCACACACACACACAGACACACTGACCTGCTCCTTACCTCCTGCTTGGAGCTCCTGCAGGCTGGTTGTTGGGGAAGCAGGAACTCCTTCCTGCTTCCCATGCTGCAGTCAGCCAGGCCGCCGCCGCCCAATAAGCCCCGCCCCCGCCGCACGCTAGCCCCGCCCCCACCGCACGTAAGCCCCGCCCCCACCGCAATTTTAAAAAAAAAACAAATTTCTCATCGGCGGCCATGTGTGAGCTGTGCCGCCTGGCAACCCCTGCTCCCATGGGGCTCTGTGCGGCTGCACAGCTCACACATGGCCGGCCGGGATCACAGGGCTCCACAGGAACCCAATGATCAGGGCTGTCAGACAGGCCCCAGGTGCGGCGGCCCACCGGGAAATTTCCCGGTATCCCGGTGGGCCAGTCCGGCCCTGAATGGGACCTGATGGAACACACCCAAAGTTATTAAAAGAGCTTAGTGGATCAACGGGGGGCATGGCCTGACCGGGTATGGAGTAGGACGCATCCCGAGCCTGCTCCGCGGCCCCAGCTCACACTAGCACCCATCAACAAGCGCTATTCAACCCGGGATGGGTAAATCCAGGAGACCCCACACGCCGGGACCCTCACAAGCCGGCTCTCCGGGTCGCACCTCGGGCCCCATGGACGGCTATGTATGCACGCCGCGAGACATGCGGTCTGCGCCGGCCGCAGCCAAAATGGCGCCGGCCTCCCCAGGGGATAGCAGCAGTGACAGCCAGACGCAGGGCTCACCCAGGGGAGACACTCTTGCACATATTTCATCCGAGCTGGCCAAGATCACTGCCAATATGCTGTCCAGGGCTGACAAAGCTGAGATGCTGGCAGAAATCAGGACTGCAATCAGGGAGGAAGTCATGGAGGTGAGGAAAGATCTGACAGCCCTTGAACACAGGGTAGAGGCCCTAGAAGCAGACAGAGCCCAGACTGTGCAGCACCAACATGCCACTGACACTGCCACCACCAGACAGGGCAATGTCCTACTAGATCTCAGGAGACAACTAGAAGACCTGGACAACCGCGGAAGGAGGAACAATATCCGCATAAGGGGCCTACCCGAAAACGCGGACGAAACGCTGCCAGAACTCCTGACAGACCTGTTTACCCATATTCTGGGAGACAGAGCCCCAGAAGACTACGGTATCGAAAGAGCCCATAGAGCGCTGCGACCCTTGTCCCCTGAGGGACCACCGAGAGACGTAATCTGCTGCTTGCTCTCTTACGCCTTAAAAGATGGCATCATGAGAGCGGCGCGCAATCAGCAGAACATCGCCTTTAGAGACGGACAGGTCTCGCTTTACCAGGATCTTTCCACGCTCACGCTAGAGGCCAGGAGGGCGCTGCGTCCAGTAACCGCCATTCTCTGGGAGCGGAGGATCCCATACAAATGGGGCTTCCCTTTCAGCCTGCAGACGAAGGTGGGCCAATCCTGGCATATCATCGCTGGCCAGCGGATGTTCCACGCTTCATACGAGCCACGAGTCTACCCGCGGTTACGGTATCCAACTGGGTCCTGGAGCAACAACCACAGCATCCACTGACAGTCAGCGACAGGCCGGGCACAGGCCTTACAGGCAGCGAGTTCCGGCGGGGTGGCCCGGACAGCCATGAAGAATAAACCTATGAACCTGGCCCCCTACCTCCCATTCGGCTACCCCGACCGCCGACCTGCCACCCCACCAACGGCCCCCCAGCCACTACGAGAGTAAGCTACAAGACCCCTGAAGGCCTAGACACCGACCATCGGAAGCTCCTGTGGGTGTCAGGCACCACGAGATGACATGGCCCCCCACGCACCTGGTCGAACCACAGCACAACTTGGTATGTACTTGATTCCCTGACCTAAGCCCGCAACACGGGGTCCAGATCCACACTAGCAGGGGGTGGCCTAACCTAAGCCTCACAACCAGGGGTGGGGACCCTCAGGAGATAGCCTTTGCATGGACATGCCACGCTGGGACTCTCCTAGTTACCACGGTCCAGGAACACCAGCTACCTTTGGGTGGATGGGGTGTGGGGGTGGAGGCCGGGAGGCTGCCACCATACCGGGGTAGTACCCACCGCTGTAAGGGTGATCTCCCCAAGCTCTAGCCTGATGGGTCCGACCGATAGCATGGACTCCAGCACCTTCTGGACAGCCGAGGGCCTTTCAGGCACGCAGTGGGGCCACCAAGGAGGGAATGCGGGGGACTCCCTTGGGGGGGAGAATGGGGGCCCTTGCTCCACAACTGTTTATTATGATTGTTATATTGGTATATGGTTTCTATTGTTTGTAAACAATTGCGCAGACGCTGTACAATATGTGTAGTGACAGTAACAGAATGACGTGAAACTTGGGGCCCGAGTCAGATAGCCCATACATAGGCCGTGACAGGGAGGGACGACGAAGGTGGGTGGGATTTCCGGGACGGAAACATGCTCGGAGAGATCTACAATCCAGCACGATAGATGAGCTTGGAGCCAAGGGAAGGGCTCGACACGACACTATCGAACGACCCAGACCAGAGGGACCGCATACCCCAAGTAACGGACTCACGTTGTATATACACTCGGAGGCCACAGTTGCCTTACTCTTGGACAGACTTACCCCCTCCCCAGACACCGGACAGACCTTACCCCTACACCCACTAACCACTGACGCATACATTCCCACACACGCCTCACAAATAACGCTGATAGAGATGGGCTCTAACTACAAGCCGACACCGCTGACCCTATGGTCTAACAATGTGAGAGGCCTAAACATTCCCGAAAAAAGGTCCCAAATACTTCGCACACTGTGGGCAGAGTGCGCCTCAGTGGCGTTTTTACAGGAAACACATTTTCAGGGTGCAGAGGCGCCGACCGTGAGAAACAGGCGTTACCCCACAGGATTTTATGCCAATCACCCAGACGGGAAGAAGGCCGGAGTAGCAATCCTACTCTCCAGTACAGTCCCATTCGTCTGCACGGAGCAGAAGTCAGACCCCGGGGGTAGATACGTATTTATCAAAGGAACAATGGCACAGTCCACTTACACATTTGCCTGCCTGTACTCCCCTAATCGACGCCAACACGTCTTCCTAACTAAAACGCTAGCCTTACTAAACAAATTCAGAGAAGGCCTTCTGATAGTGGCAGGGGACCTCAACATTCCCCTTGACTCTAGGCTGGATACATCTAGGGGAGAAACTTCGATACCAGGTCACTGCATACGCTCAACAGGGAGGGCTTTAGCCCAGTGTGGCTTGGCTGACTGCTGGAGAGTGGCTAACCCCGAGGGCAGAGACTACACCTTCTATTCGGCTGTACATCAGCGCTACAGCCGAATCGACTACATCCTAATGGCACAAGAGGCCCTAACATTACTCCAACGAGCTAGCATAGGGCATATCGCAGACTCTGACCATGCCCCCATCACAGTACAAATCCAATCCCCCCTACATAAACCTGCAGAACGGCAATGGAAGTTGAACGAAAACTTACTGCTCGACCTAGTGGACAAGGAACAAGCCAGGCAAGCACTGACACAATACTTTGATACTAATAACACGCCAGATACCAGATATATTTGGAAATCTCCAAATCCCACAGGGCTCCTGGCCCAGATGGCCTTCCACTGGCATACTTGCGTACATTCCGCGATATATTATTGCTGAACCTCCTACGAGGTCGTGGCTCACTTCAAGACGGGGAACGGTTTCCCACCGACACACTAGCGGCCATAGTCACGGTAATACCCAAGGAAGGTAAGGACCCAGCGAATTGCGCTAGCTACCGCCCCATATCCCTGCTCAATGCAGACCTCAAACTGTTCGCCAAGACACTAGCCCTGCGAATCGCTAAGCACCTACCACACCTAGTGCACTCGGACCAGGTCGGGTTCGTCCCAGAGAGGGAGGGAAGGGATAACACCATCAAAGCCCTAAACATTCTGCAAGTAGCAAGGTCGCAACATCGGGAGCTACTCCTCCTCTCGACAGATGCCGAGAAGGCCTTCGACCGGGTGGACTGGGTGTACTTGGAGGAAACACTCACACACATGGGATTCGGCCCACGCATGAGATCATGGGTCCTTTCCCTGTACACAAGCCCGACGGCTCGGATTCGGGTGAATGGTGCTCTGTCCGCCCCCTTTCCCATTCGAAATGGAACCCGCCAGGGCTGCCCGCTGTCCCCCCTCCTGTTTGCCCTCTCCCTGGAACCCTTCCTGGGGGCGGTCCGACGAGACGGGGGTATCACGGGATTCATCGTTGGCCAGCGAGAATATCGGGTTGCTGCATACGCGGATGACATGTTATTTTTTCTCATCCTTCCGCGGATATCACTTCCTAATCTTCTGGCCACATTCCGAAGGTTTGGCTTGATATCTAACCTTAAGCTCAACACAGATAAGTCAGAAGCCCTTCACCTACCTGGCCCTCAGGACTCCTCATCGACGCTATACACCCAATTCCGCTTCAAATGGTGTCCCACTAAATTGAAATACCTGGGTATATGGCTACCAAAAGACATGACCCAACTGTACTACCAAAACTACCACCCGCTGCTACAAACGATCCAGGCAGACATGAGAAAATGGGCCCCTCAATATATATCTTGGTTTGGACGCATTAACGCAGTCAAAATGAACCTTCTACCCAGACTGCTCTATTTATTCCAGACGGTGCCGATCGCGGTCCCCAGAGCGTTCTTTAGCTCCCTGACGACCGCCATCCGCAGATTCGTTTGGAATTCGCGCCCAACGCGCATCAAGAGAACGACATTGGAATTGCCGAAACCGTTGGGGGGAGCCGGCCTGCCCTCAATTGAGACATACTACCGGGCCGCACATTTACACAGGCTCACAGACTGGCACGCACAACATCCCACAAAACAATGGGTCACACTGGAATTGGAACAGTCGGGAGGGCACATACCCCCCACATTATGGCTACACACTGCTACACACGCAGACCTACAAACTAAAAATCCCTTAATAGACGCCACCCTAAGGGTCTGGATGGCAACCCGATACCGTCTACAACTCACCACTTCACCCAATCCCCTGATCCCCCTCACACATAACCCGGACTTGGCAGATTCACTAACTTGCGGTGACCTAGCCGGACTCCAACTGACGGACTGGTCATATATACACCAATGGCTCAGCTCCAATGGCCTAAAAACACTCGGAGAACTATGCCCCGACAGAACATCTACATTCCTTGAACAGTTTAGATACCGCCAAATAAAATCTTACTACTCAGCCCTGTCGGGTAAGGGGCACCTACACAGACCCTTAACTGACTTTGAAACCCTATGTGTGCAACGCACACACATCACCAGGGGAATCTCAACACTGTACACACTACTCATGACTCGGACGAACAGGGACGTGGAGCTTAGGTTCAAGGACCACTGGGAGAGGGATGCGGGAGAGACACTCACTGCACACGAATGGGACAAGATTTACACCCTCACGCACAAATGCTCTATTAGCTCAAAATATCAGGAATTAAACTATAAAGTGCTAACGCGCTGGTATAGAACGCCCGACACACTGCACCGCATGCACGGTACCACGTCAGGCATGTGCTGGCGATGTGGCACACAACCTGGCACGTATATCCACATGTGGTGGTCATGCCCGGTAATTGCCCCTTTCTGGGAACAAATTAGAGGAGAGGTCAACAAAATTACAGGCACCGATATCCCCCTGGCACCCTTAACGATGCTTTTGCACCACACCCGAAGCCCACTGACAGCATACAAAAAATCCCTGGAGCTGCCGCCCTTTCAATGCCTGTTTCCTTATCCCGAGGATGTGGAAACAGCCAAGAGCGCCCACCTTGGGGCATTGGGTGTCGGCGGTGGAGGACATATACTCAATGGAGACCCTGACGGCCGACCTCCACGGGAGACCAGAGCGGTGTGCATTGACCTGGTACATATGTGGCTAATGGAACTGTGACCCCCGAGCCAATTTAGCTGAAACTCACAGAACATCACGACAACTGCCTTACCCCTCATAGGCACAGACACGCCCTACCCATTAACCACACACAGACTACTGACAGTTTCCCCCCCCGACCAAAACTGACAACTGGAAGACAAAACACCCGCTTGAACAAACTACACACACCACCGGGACCTGGAGTAATCCAGGACGGACACCTTTAATCAGCCGGACGCACAGACAGGTTTGCGACACGGGATCACTCGACTCCCGGTAAACAGTAAGACCCCAAAGCACACGCAAATAACCCCGAACACTGCACCTGCAGCTGGCCGATGGCTACTAAGTAGAACAGAAGCTCCCCACATATCAGAGATGCACAGGTAACCTCCCATATGACCAGCACGTCACTTAGCACCGCAGTTCGCAGAGGGGAAGGTACACCATATGACGACAGACCCGTACCGGGAAACCGGGAATGAGATAACCGGATCCAATTGTTAGTTTTGCACCCCAAGTAGCGCAGTGCACCTAAGGGACAACCATAGACGGCTACGATAAACGCTAGGGAAGTACCCCAGGGACAGAGTACCAGACACAGACAGCTAGAATCGCAGTCTAAATCAGTTGGAGCCCGAGGCGGCAATCGCCTTAAGGACCCGGGATTCCGACCTAGCTACATACAAGCGCAATATAACTGCAGGCATTAGCCACGATAGCTCAAGGGTATAACAGAAGAAACCCAAGGACGGGTCTATCAGGTAGCGAGAGTAAAACCTTGTCTGCGCAAAATTGTTCTTTCAGTAAACATTGTTCGTTACCAGACTGACTAATGTTACATTATCTGTTGAAAAAAACTGATAAATAAAGATTGTCAAAAAAAAAAAAAAAAGAGCTTAGTGGTGTACTTGCAAAACATTAACAGATTTTTTTAACCAATCATTGTTAACAGGAGTAGTCCCAGAAGATTGGATGTTGGAAAATGTTGTGCCCATTCACAAGAAAGGTAGTAGGGAGGAGTCGGGCAACTATAGGCCAGTAAGCCTTACTTCAGTAGTGGGGAAAGTAATGGAAACCATGTTAAAGGATAGGATTGTTGAACATCTAAAATCACATGGATTTCAAGATCAGAGACAACATGGGTTTACTTCAGGGAGATCATGCCAAACTAATCTTATTGATTTTTTGATTGGGTAACGAAAATAATAGATCAGGGTGGGGCAGTAGACATTGCTTACCTAGATTTCAGTAAGGCTTTTTACACTGTTGCACATAGAAGACTTATCAATAAACTGCAATCTTTAAGTTTGGATTCCAATATTGTTGAATGGGTAAGGCAGTGGCTGAATGGCAAGCAACAGGGGTTCAAATATATTCAAAGCATGGGCTTGTTACCAGTGGGGTACCTCAGGGATCTGTATTTGGACCCATTCTCTTTAATATTTTCATTAGTGATATTGCAGAAGGTCTTGATGGTAAGGTATGTCTTTTTGCTGATGATAAAAAAAGAAACAGGAAGAACCCCTGTAAGAGGGTTGATGTTCAAGGAGGGATAAGCCAAATGGCAAATGATTAAAGTAAACTAGAAAAATCTTCAGAGTTGTGGCAACTGACATTTAATGTGGATATGTGCAAGATAATGCATATTGGATGTAAAAACCCAAGGGCAGAGTACAGAATTTTTGATAGAGTCCTAACCTCAACATCTGAGGAAAGAGATTTAGGGGTAATTATTTCTGATGACTTAAAGTAATACATCAGCAGGAAATGCTAGCAGAATGCTTGGTTGTATAGTGAGAGGTATTAGCAGTAAAAAGAGGGAAGTGCTCATGCCATTGTAGAGAACACTGGTGAGACTTCACTTGGAGTATTGTACACAGTACTGGAGACCATATCTCCAGAAGGATATTGATACTTTAGAGAGAGTACAGAGAACGGCTACTTAACTAGTTCATGGATTACAGGATAAAACTTACAAGGAAAGATTAAGGGAATTTAACATGTATAGCTTGGAGGAAAGACGAGACAGGGGGGATATGATAGAAACATTTAAATACATAAAGGGAATCAACACAGTAAAGGAGGAGACTATATTTAAAAGAAAAACTACCACAACAAGAAGACATAGTCTTAAATTAGAGGGGCAAAGGTTTATCAGGAAGTATTACTTTACTGAGAGGGTAGTGGATATATGGAATAGCCTTCCAGCTGAAGTGGTAGAGATTAACAAAGTAAAGGAGCTTAAGCATGTGTGGGATAGGCATAAGGCTATCCTAGCTATAAGATAATGCCAGGGACTAATGAAAGTATTTAGAAAATTGGGCAGACTAGATGGGCTGAATGGTTTTTATCTGTTGTCACATTCTATGTTCTATGTTTCTAACTAAACCCAATGTAGAGACTTGTAAAAATAGCACTAAGGGGCATGAACTATCCTATCTGATTAATAGCAGAAATAGTGTTTAAATATTACCATTTATATTGGAAATGAAAAGTGACAGAGGTGAAAGCAGGTACTGTATGTGTGTATGTGTGTGTGTGTGTGTTTATGTATGGAGTTCTAAAGGGAAGGAGATGAGTAGATAAGACAAGAAAAGAAAATGCTAAGGTAGTACGTGATGTTGAAACACAGCTTCATATGGTGACAGTCAGATTCCAGAGGTGGGTTTTCACATTTGCTGACTCTGTTAAACAATCAGTTTCTGTGCTGCAGTTTGCCAATATGCCAATATGCATTGTGTTGCGAGGATCAATAATTTACAACATAACGATTGTGTTATACTGTGACAAGTAACTTAGAGGGTTTCTAAAACCAAAAACCTGACTGAAGCCACATTTGAACAGAATTCACATTAGCTAGCCCAGAACTCTTGTTCCCCGTGATGTGGCAGAAGTGACAGAGGGGTTAAACTCACCACCCCCGGGTTAGCCCCCCCATACTTAGAATTTTAACAAAAGATTATTCCATTTGTTAGATCTTTGTTAGATCAGGTTTGATCAACAATTTTTTTCGTTAGATCTACTCTAAAATATGCGATATTAACAATCATTGTCAGGGGGGGCTAACCCGTAGCCAGCCCCCCCTCAACAAAAATTTTGAGAAAATGTTGTTGATTATGATAGCTCTACGTTAGATCAGGTTTGATCAGGCAAAATTTTTGTTTGATCTAGTCTAATTACTGAGATATTGCATATATAATTAGGGGGGGCTAGCCCCCCCTCAACTGAAATTTGGACAAAATGTTACTGATTTTGGTAGCTATTCGTTAGATCAGGTTTGATCAACTGTTTTTTTCGTTAGATCTATCACGCAAGAGGTGGTATTCCCTACTTAACTTTGTTTGCGTGACTACGGGTTAGCCCCCCCTCAAGTGAAATTTGAATTTTTTTAACTTGATTTTGGTAGATATTCATTAGGTCAGGTTTGATCAACTATTTTTTTCGTTAGATCTATCACGCAAGAGGCGGTATTCCCTACTAAACTTTGTGGGCGTGACTACGGGTTAGCCCCCCCTCAAGTGAAATTTGAAATTTTTTTTATTGATTTTGGTAGCTATTCGTTAGATCAGGTTTGATCAACTATTTTTTTCGTTAGATCTATCACGCAAGAGGCGGTATTCACTACTTAACTTTGTGGGCGTGACTACGGGTTAGCCCCCCCTCAAGTGAAATTTGATTTTTTTTTCATTGATTTTGGTAGCTATTTGTTAGATTAAGTAAGATCAACTGTTTTTTTCCGTAAGATCTATCACGCAAAAGGCGGTATTCACAATCTTATTTTAATTTTGCACATAAATACCAGTAAATTTTCATATCAAGCCACAGGTGACATCATAATTTAGGAATTTGCTTGGATTTTCTAACACAATGTGTAGATCATTTTTAATATTTTTTTTTTATTCTCTACATGCACAGTATTGAGGTGATAAAGTCCAGCATATGCGCAGCCTGAACTTATTAGTGATATTTGAATACAGTTGCAAGAAAAAGTATGTGAGCCCTTTGGAATGATATGGATTTCTGCACAAATTGGTCATAAAATGTGATCTGATCATCATCTAACTCACAACAATAGACAATCACAGTCTGCTTAAACTAATAACACACAAAGAATGAAATGTTGCCATGTTTTTATTGAACACACCATGTAAACATTCACAGTGCAGGTGGAAAAAGTATGTGAACCCCTAGACTAATGACATCTCCAAGAGCTAATTGGAGTGAGATGTCAGCCAACTGGAGTCCAATCAATGAGATGAGATTGGAGGTGTTGGTTACAGCTGCCCTGCCCTATAAAAAACACACACCAGTTCTGGGTTTGCTTTTCACAAGAAGCATTGCCTGATGTGAATGATGCCTCGCACAAAAGAGCTCTCAGAAGACCTACGATTAAGAATTGTTGACTTGCATAAAGCTGGAAAGGGTTATAAAAGTATCTCCAAAAGCCTTGCTGTTCATCAGTCCACGGTAAGACAAATTGTCTATAAATGGAGAAAGTTCAGCACTGCTGCTACTCTCCCTAGGAGTGGCCGTCCTGTAAAGATGACTGCAAGAGCACAGCGCAGACTGCTCAATGAGGTGAAGAAGAATCCTAGAGTGTCAGCTAAAGACTTACAAAAGTCACTGGCAAATGCTAACATCCCTGTTAGCGAATCTACAATACGTAAAACACTAAACAAGAATGGATTTCATGGGAGGATACCACAGAGGAAGCCACTGCTGTCCAAACAAAACATTGCTGCACGTTTACAGTTTGCACAAGAGCACCTGGATGTTCCACAGCAGTACTGGCAAAATATTCTGTGGACAGATGAAACCAAAGTTGAGTTGTTTGGAAGAAACACACAACACTATATGTGGCGAAAAAGAGGCACAGCACACAAACATCAAAACCTCATCCCAACTGTGAAGTATGGTGGTGGGGGCATCATGGTTTGGGGCTGTTTGCTGCGTCAGGGCCTGGATAGATTGCTATCATCGAAGGAAAAATGAATTCCCAAGACATTTTGCAGGAGAACTTAAGGCCATCTGTCTACCAGCTGAAGCTCAACAGAAGATGAGTGTTGCAATAGGACAATGACCCAAAGCATAGAAGTAAATCAACAACAGAATGGCTTAAACAGAAGAAAATACACCTTCTGAAGTGGCCCAGTCAGAGTCCTGACCTCAACCCGATTGAGATGCTGTGGCATGACCTCAAGAAAGCAATTCACACCAGACATCCCAAGAATATTGCTGAACTGAAATAGTTCTGTAAAGAGGAATGGTCAAGAATTACTCCTGACCTGGGCAGCTGTAACCAACACCTCCAATCTCATCTCATTGATTGGACTCCTGTTGGCTGACATCTCACTCCAATTAGCTCTTGGAGATGTCATTAGTCTAGGGGTTCACATAATTTTTCCACCTGCACTGTGGATGTTTACATGGTGTGTTCAATAAAAACATGGCAACATTTCATTCTTTGTGTGTTATTAGTTTAAGCAGACTGATTGTCTATTGTTGTGACTTAGATGATGATCAGATCACATTTTATGACCAATTTGTGCAGAAATCCATATCATTCCAAAGGGCTCACATACTTTTTCTTGCAACTGTATTCAAATATCACTAATAAGTTCAGGCTGGGCATATGCAGGACTTTATCACCTCAATACTGTGCATGTAGAGAATTAAAACAAATATTGAAAATGATCTACACATTGTGTTAGCAAATTCCTAAAATATGATGTCACCTGTGGCTTGATATGAAAATTTACTGGTATTTATGTGCAAAATTAAAATAAGATTGTGAATACCGCCTTTTGCGTGATAGATCTTACGGAAAAAAACAGTTGATCTTACTTAATCTAACAAATAGCTACCAAAATCAATGAAAAAAAATTCAAATTTCACTTGAGGGGGGGCTAACCCGTAGTCACGCCCACAAAGTTAGGTAGTGAATACCGCCTCTTGCGTGAGAGATCTAACTAAAAAAATAGTTGATCAAACCTGATCTAACGAATAGCTACCAAAATCAATAAAAAAAAATTCAAATTTCACTTGAGGGGGGGCTAACCCGTGGTCACGCCCACAAAGTTAGGTAGTGAATACCGCCTCTTGCGTGATAGAGCTAACGAAAAAAATAGTTGATCAAACCTGATCTAACGAATAGCTACCAAAATCAATAAAAAAAAAATCAAATTTCACTTGAGGGGGGGCTAACCCGTAGTCACGCCCACAAAGTTAAGTAGTGAATACCGCCTCTTGCGTGATAGATCTAATGAAAAAAACAGTTGATCAAACCTGACCTAACGAATATCTACCAAAATCAATTAAAAAAAATTCAAATTTCACTTGAGGGGGGCTAACCCATAGTCACGCCCACAAAGTTAGGTAGTGAATACCGCCTCTTGCGTGATAGATCTAACGAAAAAAACAGTTGATCAAACCTGACCTAATGAATATCTACCAAAATCAATTAAAAAAAATTCAAATTTTACTTGAGGGGGGGCTAACCCGTAGTCACGCCCACAAAGTTAAGTAGTGAATACCGCCTCTTGCGTGATAGATCTAACGAAAAAAACTGTTGATCAAACCTGACCTAACGAATATCTACCAAAATCAATAAAAAAAAATTCAAATTTCACTTGAGGGGGGGCTAACCCGTAGTCACGCCCACAAAGTTAAGTAGTGAATACCGCCTCTTGCGTGATAGATCTAACGAAAAAAACAGTTGATCAAACCTGACCTAATGAATATCTACCAAAATCAATTTAAAAAAATTCAAATTTCACCTGAGGGGGGGCTAACCCGTAGTCACGCCCACAAAGTTAAGTAGGGAATACCGCCTCTTGCGTGATAGATCTAACGAAAAAAACAGTTGATCAAACCTGATCTAACGAATAGCTACCAAAATCAGTAACATTTTGTCCAAATTTCAGTTGAGGGGGGGCTAGCCCCCCCTAATTATATATGCAATATCTCAGTAATTAGACTAGATCAAACAAAAATTTTGCCTGATCAAACCTGATCTAACGTAGAGCTATCGTAATCAACAACATTTTCTCCAAATTTTTGTTGAGGGGGGGCTGGCTACGGGTTAGCCCCCCCTGACAATGATTGTTAATATCGCATATTTTAGAGTAGATCTAACGAAAAAAATTGTTGATCAAACCTGATCTAACAAAGATCTAACAAATGGAATAATCTTTTGTTAAAATTCTAAGTATGGGGGGGCTAACCCGGGGGTGGTGTTAAACTCAGTATGTGCAGTCATGCTATGAAGCAGAATGCTGCACATACAAACTCCTGCACAATGACTGGTTGAAAACACTGAAGTTGTCATGGTGCCTTAATACTTGTATGCTAAACGAGTGGTTCATTTATAAGAGGGGTAGAATTGTATATTAAAGGAACACTATAGTCACCTAAATTACTTTAGCTAAATAAAGCAGTTTTAGTGTTTAGATCATTCCCCTGCAATTTCACTGCTCAATTCACTGTCATTTAGGAGTTAAATCACTTTGTGTCTGTTTATGCAGCCCTAGCCACTCCTCCCTTGAAAATCTTAATTAAACAGAACTTGCAATAAAGAAAGCCTAAATAGGGCTCTCTTTACAGGAAGTGTTTATGGAAGGCTGTGCAAGTCACATGCAGGGAGGTGTGACTAGGGTTCATAAACAAAGGGATTTAACTCCTAAATGGCAGAGGATTGAGCAGTGAGGCTGCAGGGGCATGTTCAATACACCAAAACTGCTTCATCAAGCTAAAGTGGTTCATGTGACTATAGTGTCCCTTTAAGGGATGTAATATCATAGTAGTAGAGGAAATGCTAAAACATTACTAAAGAACTCGGTACAATAAAATAATAATAATAAAAAAAAACTTAGTACAGTGAGAAACAAGGGTACAGATAAATAATGGAATTTGTCCTTAGTCAGCAGACAATGTTTAATGGAATGATACGTTATTGTAATAAACTCAGAGTTGTTAACATTTTCCATACCTCCAAAGCCTGGTCTCATGGTGAAGTCATGGTCATCTATTCTGAGAAGCTGTTCTGATTTTGTTAGAGGAGATTTTGTGATATCTGGGCTCCGTTTAAAAACAGGGCTGCATGAGAAATATAACGGGGGTTATAATGAGACAATTTTTCAGCATAACAGTATACTAATTATTTTGGAGGCTGTACTGCAAAATGCCAGATAAATCCCAGCAGTCTTAGTGTCCCTGAGTACTTCATTAAATGGGGAATCGGCAGGAATTGACCAAGGACTTACAATTTAAGTGGCAAGTAACGGAAACAAAGTTTGTTTAGTTTTTTTCTTCTTTTTTCAATATTGGCCTAAAATTTGCAAATATTGGCCTAAAATTTGCAAATCCCTGGTTGACCACTGACAATTTCTGCTTTAGTAAACAAACCTGCGTGTGTCAGTGGGCAAATCATGTGCCCGAAGAGGATGGAAGCCACAATAAGAAGAGACTACATTCATAAACATTAATATTAAAGGAATATATACACAAAATAAAAAATATCATAAATTTTAGATATGACTAGTCACACAATAAAAAAAATAAATAAACATATATATTAATTGTATATAAAAATCAGTATGTTTATTCTACCTGTCTATAATTATCTTGCAGATTTAACTGTAGTCACACATTCTGTCAGCGGAAGCTGCTTTGTATTACCTGAGTTTATTATTAATGGCAGAATAATGTTGAAATGCTTATGGTAAGAGTTTCCGGTGGACAGTCTGTACCAGGATTTGGAAGGAGTAGATTGACACATGGCATCACTTGGCAGTAGAAGAGAGTGCAAATAGCTTACACCTCTAATAGGTAATCATATTTTACACTCCCTTTAGAATCACACCAGGGAGGTGACCACACAGTTCCCAGGAAAGATGGTGAGAAATTGACGAAGCATTCAGACGCAGAGAAATGAACTATCCCCAGATCCATAACCTCCCCTATGGGCTAAATATTGTAAAAACCATCCAAAGTAGCATGAGTCCAGTATGGACTGAATTTCATATTTTGCTTGACCCTCAATTATTACAAGCCTGAATGAGATACACAGAACAAAAATCTATTACCAGTTAGAAATGTGCTGGAAAAAGATAAGCAAAAACCTTTATTTTCTTAATTTTATGGTGAATGTGAGGGCACTAAACTAGATATGGACAGGGACACTATAGCATTAGGAAAGCGCGTCAAGCGTTCTTTTCTTCTTTAATCACTGTACTAGGTAACACTTTTATTTTTGTTACCAATATGGTTATTGATTTTTAGGTGTTTATTTATTTATAACTTTAGTAGGAGGAGTTGGTTCAGATAGACACTAGTGGTCAGACCACAGTGTCGAGGGTGAATTTAAAGATTTTTTTTTTTCTTTGAGGCTTTTCATCTGCGTTTAGACCAGATTACCTGGTCCCTTGTTCTCTGTGGACCCTGTGCATTTTCTCTCTCCCTAACCTCGTTTACACTACCTTCCCGTCAGTTGGACACTAGGGGAACTGGAACTTAGATGCTATTTAGTACTGCAGATAATGGCGTTTACTAGATCTCCATTTTTGGAGCTCTCCTGATGTTAGTTTTCCCTTGAGGGATTCTATACATCACTTTCTCCTATTTCCTGCATATTTTGGAGGGCTATCCCCTTATTGGAGCTCTCTATTAGGTGGTTACAGTATCCGGACTCCTGACCTGCACTCTGTTTACTTTATTTCTCCATTCTGTACTATATTCCTAAAACTATAGTGTTCCTTGAGTCATCTGGAATTTAGAGAACTTGACCAAAGTACGCCTAACCTGTGTTCACCAAAAATGTCACACAGAGAAGTAATTTCTCTTTTAAGAATAGCCACTGGGAGAACTGTAGAATGGAAGCCTCAATTTACTAAGAATGGACCCTAGTGAGATGACTCATGGGTAGCATTATTCTAAGCATTGTGGCCCAGAGAAACAGGATGGTCCACTTATCTTGCTGGTCAGAAACAATATACCACAGATTCTGTTCCAGAGACTGCTTGGCAATTCTAGCTGCCTCATTAGTCGAAAGATGTTAGGTTGAGGAAAACAAGAGCTGGATACCCGTTTTAGCATAAACACTTCACCAAAACTGAGAGAGAAACGGTCTCTCACTGTCTGAGACCTTAAAAGTTACCGGGCAAAAATACTTCACATCTTTCCTGAGAATATGGATTTAGAACCCCTTAGATGTCTGATTCCCTTGGAATAATAAAAAAAAAATGATCACTCTAGTCTGTAGGGGAATGATGGAATGAATTGGAACAATTAATTTGTCTAAAACTATGTATGCCAGTGTGACTGAATCTTTGTAATGTGGCTCTATAATCTCTTCTGGTAGAGAAGATGAAATAGTGGTTGTAATGATAGCAATAATTCTGTCACTTGGAATTATAGGAAATTGTGTTACTTTGTTATTGTCATGTGGAAGAAATTTTTGTGAATGGTGCAGGGTGAGTAAAATAAGTTTTGACTGAACCATGTTTTCTGAAACTAATTTTTCTTTTCCAGATGGTGGAATTTAGGCCATATGCCAGTTTGGCTCAGCAGAATCTCAATAATGAAAAACCGATTTGAGAAACGAATCAGACAAACCAAAAAGGCATGAAAATGGGCCTATCAGTGTACTGTAAAATATATACCATTTGGTTCACAGATCAAGTCAGAAAAAGTAACCAATAGAGGAAAAATAGGAGTAAAGAAAAAAAATCTATATTTATAAATATTATACATTTAATAAATATATAATAAAAAAATATTGTAAATATAGATTGTTTTCTACTGCTCCTATTTTTTCTCTCTATTGCGCAATTCTAACTTGATAAAGTAAATAACATTTACACTAGTTGTTATGGTAAATGGAAAAACAAAGGATTACACATGGATCTATATTTGTTACAGGTTGCTATGCTGAGCATTAGATTAAAAATATCCAAAATAAAAGCCAGCTGACTCTTTTCTATAAATAAATGGAGATGGCCGTGAAGCACTAAAGAACTGTGATGCCATGGGTAAACTGTAGTAAACTGCTTAGCAAATGCTTTATTCTACTAAGTGCAATATTGTCAAAGTGCACACAGCCTACAGACAACTCGGAAATGACTTATTGGCACTCTTTATTGTTCACTTTAGAGAGTGACGGACTTCAACACTGCTTGGCCCAAATAGGGGACACAAAAATTTGAATTATATCCCATTGTGTAATAACAATATATATATAGGTACAAGGTACAAGCAAATCTCAAGATACAAAATAAAAGGCTGCAGAGCAATAAATATGGTCTCTTATCCGCCAGACAGGTATGCCATCTATTAAAGTTTTACAACTGGGCACCTCAATGTGAAAACGTTTTTGTTTGATTAATCTTCAAAAACAAAAGTATTGAGCCCTCTGTACTCTGTTGGGCAGGTAATGAGATGTCATCCATTGAATTTGTATCCCCCCTGTGACTTCTCTCAAAATTTCGGGAACAAGATTTATGGCTGGTTTAGAACAGAATAAGTAGAAGGGGACAGGGTTTCTGGCTGACTAGGGAAAGGGAGATAGAAGGAGACAGTTTCTCATTTGGTCAGGAAAATAGAGGGTTTGAAATATATAATTATACATGTTACTGGGCAAGGATCACAATAAGTTTGCCCACCAGAGTACTGTGATTAATTGATTGATTGACTACTACGAAAGGGGCCAAACAAATGAGACAGAAGAGAGAAGATCTTCCATACATCGATCTACTACTTTTACGGCCTGAATTACATGCGAGACCTGCGAGTCTCACTGTCTTACCATGCTATGTTCACATGCTACCTTTTGACAAGCCAGTAAAAAATTATATTTACAAACAATGAGAGAGAAGATCTTTAATTATGACTTTAAAATGTATGCATACATTGTTATATAGGCTGAAAAAAGAATTGTGTGATTTGCTATAAACTAGGAAAAAAATCCTTCCCAACCACAGAAGGACAGTCAGATCTCTTCTTGGATCAAGAAGCTGTTACCCCGACACATCACAAATTGTATCCCTGAATATTATGTTTTTTTAAGTATTCATCCAGTTGCTATTTAAACATCTGCACATACTCTGATAAAACCACATCTTCAGGCAGATAATTCCACATCCTTATTGTTCTTATTGTTAAGAAGTCCCTGGTAACTGCTGCACAGGAAGAGGGAAGCAGGAAGGAGTCCCTGCTTCCCCAACAACTAACTGCTTCCACTGTTCCTTTCAGCCATAATGGGAAGAGGTAAGTCTGTGTGTGTGTGTCTGCCTGCCTGCCTGTGTTTGTGTGACTGTTTGCCTGTTTGTGTGACTGTCTGTCTTTGTGTCTGCCTGCCTGCCTGTGTGTGTGTGTGTGACTGCCTGTCTGTGTGTGACTATCTGTGTGTGTGTGACTGTCTGCGTGTGTGTGTGTGTGAGACTGTGTGTGTGACTGTCTGCCTGTGTGTGTGTGAGACTGTGTGTGTGACTGTCTGCCTGTGTGTGTGTTAGACTGTGTGTGTGACTGCCTGTGTGTGTGTGAGACTCTCTGTGTGTGTGACTGTCTGCCTGCCTGTGTGTGTGTGACTGCCTGTGTGTGTGACTGTCTGCCTGCCTGTGTGTGTGTGACTGTCTGACGGCCTGCTTGTGTGTGACTGCCTGCCTGTGTGTGTCTGCCTGCCTGTGTGTGACTGTCTGCCTGTGTGTGTGACTGCCTGTGTGTGTGTGACTGTCTGACGGCCTGCTTGTGTGTGAGTGCCTGTGTGTGACTGTTTGCCTGTGTGTGTGACTGCCTGCCTGTGTGTCTGCCTGCCTGTGTGTTAGACTGTATGACTGCCTGTGTGTGACTGTCTGCCTTTGTATGAAGGTTTGCCTGTGTGTGTGTGTGTGTGTGTGACTGTATGTGTGTGACTGTTTGCCTGTGTGTGACTCCAATTGTGTGTGTCGCTGTAGCTGTGCCATTGTAACTGTGTGTGTGACTGTGTGCCTGTAACTGTTTGTGATTGTGTGCCTGTAACTGTGTGTGATTGTCTGCCTTTTAACTGTGTGTTTAGCTCTGTGACTGTCTGCCTGTAACTGAGTATGTCTGACTGTCTGCTTGTAA